TGAACCTAAGCCACTCTTTGCTCATTTTAGAAAGCATATATTTTAGAAAGTGTTTTTATTTTTCATAAAAATGTGCTTTTGATACACAGTGATCTTATTTAAAAATTAATAATAAATATTTTGCAAATTTATCTTTGTTCTAATGTGGCAAGTATCAATACGCACATGTAACATAAACAAAAGCTTTTGGTAGATCTCAGGATTTTTTGTATTTTGGGGTTTGCTTGTTTGTTTGTTTGTTGAGACAAGGGTCCCACTATGTTGCCCAGGCTGGTTTCAAACTTGTGAGCTCAAGTGACTCTCCCATTTCAGCCTCTAAGTAGCTGGGACTACAGGCATGGGCCACTGCACCTGGCTCTACAAGCCTCAATGGGGGGGGGGGGGCTACCGGAGATCGAACTCAGGACCTTGCAGTTGCCAGGCAGGTTTGGCACCACTGACCTAAATTCCTGGCCCTACAAACCTCAGTTTTTAAGAGTGTAAAATGACCCTAAAACCAAGAAAGTCAAGAATCATGGGTACAGATTGAGCAATACCACTACCGGCTGCCCAGCCAGCTTGTCCCAGGGAATCCGTGACATCAACCACTCCATAGCTCTCCTGTTAAGGATCCCCTACTGACCACCACTCCAACTTACTGCTCATTACAATAGTTACATCAACATTCACCTTCTATGTTTTCGTGGACCCATTCTCTCCATGCTGTCAGGAAGCCAGTTCTAAGAGGGCCTCCTGCTGGCCTCCTGAGGACAACAAAACTGAGCCACTCTGTGGTGCCGGTACCCCTCCTGCCAGTCATTCCTTACTGCTTTAATCCTAGAGTAGCCTTTGGGCATTCCTGCAGGACTTACACTGGTTTCTGGCCATACACAGAACGGCTGCCATAGCATGCCCACCCTCTGAGATCTTTTTATTTTTAGTAGTCCTGAAGATTGAACCCAGAGCCTTCACATTGAGCTACATCCCCAGGCCTTTTTATTTTTTATATTGACATGATCTCACTAAATTGCTAGGTCGCGCAAGCTGGGTTTAAATTTTCAATTCTCCTGCCTTGGTACTTGGGATTACAGCTGTGTGACACTAGACCTAGTTCTCTGAGATTTTGAACATTTCTTCCACCTTCTGCCATGGTGGTTCTGGAATTTCCAGTCACTCTGTCTTCCAGGGTCCTTATCAGGGTATCTGCAATAAAGTCTCCATAACTCAGGAGGATGTTCAGCTCCCCACTCCTCTCCCCCTACACCTTTGCCTATATATCTGCTCCTGGCTCTGCCAGTACGCAATGACTACCTCTCCAGTTCCTTCAGGAAATAGCCTTCTTCCTTCCGGGCAGGACCTGCATATCTCCAGCAGGGCTTTGTGCAACTTGGCTCTATTGTTCTTATAGATTCAGAGAAAAAGGCAGCTTCCTTTGGCTCCTGAGGGCAATTCCCACGAACAGGTGTGGCTGTGAACAAGGAGTAGCCAAGACTCCCACAGCTGGTGGAATGTGTCCCCATTCTGAAAGTGACCTGGGAGTACCCCATGCACCCACTGCAAAGTTCAGCTGCACCTGTGAGCCAGAACAGAGCGGGGATCAAGAACCTAATGTCCTAGGGTAGGGGATTTAGCTCAGTGGTGCTGCCCCTGCCTTGTAAGCACAAGGTCCAGAGTTCAGGTACCGAGGTGGGGGGAACCCTAATGCCCTAGAGTCAGAAAGACTTAGGTTTGAATTCTATGAAACCTCAAGTAAATTCCTTAACCTTTTTGAATCAGTTTCTGCTGCACAATGAGGATCAGTAGTAATTACCTGATACGTTGCTGTGAGACAATGAGACAAGAACGCAGGTCTTGGTAGAGTGCCTAGCATATACTAAGGGCATGGTTCTTGCTCCTGTTACAAGTGGTCAGAACTTTCCAAAGCCTGAAAGGGCTGTCACAGGAAGCAGACTTTAGGGAACAGGGAAAGGGGACGTTACTAGGACCTCTGCAGTAAGTCCTAGTCTCCTTCAAGCCACGGCAGCACAAGGCGAATTACAGGAAAGTAGAAAAATGAGACTGAGAAGAAGCTGAGCTTTGGTTCTGAGCAGTGCTGCTCTGGGCGGCAAAGACGAAAGCCCCCAGCTTAAGGTACCTTTCGCTCGGTACGTCAGGAGAAACAAATGTAACAAATGACTTGCAGAGAGTTCAGTACATCCGCGTAACAAAGATGTAACAATACAAGAACAATGAGGAACTGAGTAGATGAAGATTTTGTTCCTCCCAGGATGTCTTCAGCTGGTGTAATCTTGTCCTGGAGAATCACAGCATCACCGGATCACTGAGGTCTCAGTTATGACCGGAGGCCAAAATGGAATTATGTCTCGGAATTCCATAGCTGGGCTGTAGGCAGGAGAATTAGGCTAACCGAATGATTTTACCCTAAAATTATGCAGCATTGCTCCCGACAGCAGACAACAAAGTTAACCATCATAAACAGTCATTTAGCTGAAGATCCATGGGGATGTTGTGGAGAAGCCACTAAGGTTGGTGGGAGTATTCACAAGGGATGGCCTTTCAAGCCCGTTGTGTCCGTAAACTGCCTTGCTTCTGATTCCTGGCTACCCTTAGTGGGGAGAAGCAATTAGAGAAGCATATTCACGTTCAGACCACTAGGGGGCCATTTAGTAGCCTGCAACAGGAATACACTAATGGTTTCTTAATGGCTCAGGCACCAGGGAGATCAGGCTCAATTATATCTGAAAGCATTTTGAGTTCCAGGGGTAAAAGACACTATGTAAATCCAGATAATAAATAGGGCTTATTGATGACAGGTTAAAGAATCTGGCACTGTTTAGTTTGGAGAAGAATAGGGCAAGAAGAATTGCATAAGAGCTCCAACCATATTATTCTTTAGTTTAGAAAAGAGTGACGTGCTGTTTTCCCATTCTGCTGGGAACCAGGCAAGAAAAAAGTAGTTTAATTCACAAGAGAAATACAGAGAAGCATTTCAGAAAAGGAATCAAAGGAAGCTTTATATTGTCCTTGCCTGGAATCTTTAAGAATAATTCACCTTGCAATAGTTGTGTGATTGGTCCTGCCAGGAAGACCAGAGAACAGGGGAGAGAAGAGAGTACAACTTCCAGAGATGATTCAGAGATTTTAACTTAGAAAGTTTCATTTGACAGGCTGCCTTCTATACCAGCTCTTGCTGATGTACAAGCAGGCTGGGGAAAGAGTCAGTCATTTTCCCCCCTATCAGCCCTTGGAAGGCAATAAACAGTCCAAACTCCCAACCTCCTTGAAATTTCTCAGAAAGTGGAAAGGCAGGCTTTTCCTTGAAATAGCATCCAGCTGTCCTTTGTAGTGGCAGAGCCACACCTGAGCCTCCAGCTGACTGGGACTGAAGGGCCAGGTTAGAGGCCTTTGGTCGCAGCAGCCCACAGGCATACTGCTCTGGTAGCCACTCCACTTTTGTTTGTAGTGCAGCAGGGCGGTAGTGTTGGTGCAGGACTTCCTGAGGGAGGGGACATCTGGGAGTCAAAAGTTCCTGGAGGAGAAGGGATAAGAGGAAGGGTAGAGGAGGTCACTCACCACAAGATCAGAGCCAGGTCGGGCTCATATTTGCAGGGTCCCACAGACGCCCCGTCAGGACCACAGTCCTACACACACACACACACACACACACACACACACTCACTCACATTCACTCACACAGGCACTGGATCCATCCCTGTTTCCACAGACACCAGGCAATCCACACAGACCGTTCTGAGAACACAGGAAGTAGGATTCAAGGCGGAGGGAACTAGAAATTCTGGAAAGCTTTATAGATAGGGATTGGGGAGGAGAGAAGGAAAGGGAAAGAAAAGGGTGGGAGGAAGCGGGATGCATCTGGAAGCCGGCTACCTAGAGTCCTAACACAGAGAGAGGGGTTGTCAGCACCCAGGGGTCTAACAAGAGAGCGCAAAGCCAACAGCCTGGACCCTGGCCTGGAGCCAGGGAGGACAACCCTCGAGTGGGAAGGGGACGAGGAAAAGCAGGACGACTGCCCGGGCCCTGGGGCGGGCAGAAAGGATCAAGGAGCGAAAACTCGGAAACCGCACTCCATCAGTTCCATGCAGCCCCTTTGATCCAAATCAAGGCCAAACCTGGGAGTAGGAAGAACAAAATGCGAGCCTTAGAACCCGCTGTGAACTTCGCCTGAAGAACAGCCTGCACCTGTGGGGCTCCAAGACAACTGGGGATTTGGAAGATGCCAGGGAGTCCCTAAATCCAGCCTACCCACCCCCACAGAAGAAGGGGAGCAGCTGTGTGTGACCTCAGTGTGCGCTCCAGGCACCTCAAATACCACCCGGACCCGAGCCAGGGGTGTGAAGGGGCCTACGGCGGGGCGCGAACCGAGGACACAAGCGTGGTGTCACCCTCACTTCGGGGCTGGTTGGTAAACAGGCCTGGGGGCCGAAGCCTGGGCTGCGATTCCATCTGTCACTCGGGAGTCTGGGGCGGGGTGGGGCGGTGCCAGAGTTGACAGCTCCACGCCTCCTGCCCCTCCCTCTCCCCTGGGTTCTGCACTCCGCCCAATACAGCGCCGTTCCCCTTTTAAAGAAGCGCCCCGGACTGCTGCCTTCGCCACGAAAGCTCGTGCGGGGGACGCGGCGACGTGGCCCCTTTAAGAGCAGCCTCCCTTAACTCTCTCTTAACTGGGCGTCGCGGTGGGGCTTCCCGCGCGGCGCTTCCGGACTCGACGTCGCCCTTTTAAGAGGCGGCCCCCAGCGGCGCCCGCCCCGCCCCCGTGGCCAGCGCGCGCGTCGGGGGAGCCGGGCTGCTGCGGCTCGAGCGCGCGGTCCGCGCGGCCACTGGAGACCGGGCGGCCGGTGGCCGGGCAGGCGGCGGCGACAGCGGATGGGGACGCGGAGCCGGGCGGCTGTGGCAGCTGTGGCGGCGGCGCGGAAGCAGCTGACGGGCCGGCGGCGGCGGCGGCGCTGGCGGCGGTGACTAGCCCAGGCCCCGGCGGCAGCTCAGCGACGCGGTGGCGGGCGGCGGACGGGCGGCGTGAGGAGCGGCGGCGGAGCGCGAAGCCGCGGGGAACCGAGGGCGCCGGGCCGCCCCCTGCCCAGTCGTCGCAGGCCGCCAGGCCCCCTCCAGCCGGGGCCGTGGAGCACCGGGGCAAAGGCCGGGGCCCCCCCATGAAGGAGCGCGACGTGGGCCCGGCCGAGCGGGGCAAGCCGGCCACCTACACCGGGGACAAGAAGGCGAAGATGGCGGCCAAGACCAACAAGAAGTGGGTCCGGCTCGCCACCGTGTTCGCCTACGTGCTCTCCGTGTCGCTGGCCGCCATCGTGCTGGCGGTCTACTACAGCCTCATCTGGCAGCCGGTGGGCGCCGGGACCTCGGCGGGAGCTGCGGGCCCGCCTTCCGGCGGCTCCAACGCCACCGGCCCGTCCGGGACTTCGGGGGCAGCGGCCACGGGGCCCAACGCCACCTGGTCGTCCCGCCGCGAGGCCCCGCGCGACGAGCCCCCGCTGCAGGCGACGCGGCCGGAGCCCCCGGAGCCCCCCGCGGACAGCCCCCTGGCGTGGCCGCTCGAGGGCCCGCTGGGCCCGGACGAGGAGGAGGAGGAGGAGGAGGAGGAGGAGCTGGCCGCGCCCGGGAGTCACTGAGTCCTCGCACGGGGGGCGGCGGGGAACTGTCGTCTCCAAGCCCGGAGGTGGCGGGAGTGACCCCTCCGGAGTGAACGCCTCCCCAGACACACACCGCTAGATCGGCAGCTCACCCCGACACAGTGGCCCGCAGCCCGATCTTCAGGGACCACGATTCGCCGGGGACTGGGGTTTGGTCTTCCCAGGACCTTGCTGTGCCAGGGCCCTGAGCCATGAGAGGGATGGGTTGTGGGGGTCCTAGCACCGAACCCTTCTATGCCGCTAGCTGTGGTGTTTCCCATATGCAGGGGTGACTGGGACTTTCCCCCCAGGACTCAGGGGAAGATGGAGCTGTAGGGACTCTTTTTTAATAAGCTGAAGCTCTCAAAAGGAAGAGAGCACCAAAAGTAGTGGAGCTCAGGTACGTCAACCTAGTTGCAGTGGCCAGAAATGCATTTAATTTATAGATCCCTGTATATAGTTGTTGAGATATGCACTATCAGCTATAATCACAGAACTCTATGTATCCTCCCACACCCTGGGTAGCTACTGACTGATGGGGTCTAGCCAGGGCTATTTGCTGGCCTCTAAAGTGTACCTAGCTGGAAAGGCACAAACATGGCTTTTTTCATCACCCACTCTTTCCCCATCCCCTCCTATTTCAGAAAGACAGGTTTATGGCATTCTTACACAAGAGTATAATCATTCTCAGACTGCTGACGTGACAGTAGAAGTAGAAACAGTTCAGGGAGGGTGGGGAATGTACTGATCCCCTCTTCCCACCCCTCATGCCCCAACCAAAGTGGCTTCCTGTTGTAGCCCTGAGTGTCTGGATATGGGCCAAGGACGATGGAAGGGAAAGAGCAGTGCCGCTGTGCTTCAATACTTGGCCTTCCTCTCGAAGAATTCTTTTAGGAAGGGCAAGCTTTTGTAAGTAGAGTGGCAAGTGTTTTATCTTTTCTGTCTTGCTCCTCAGGGTCTTGTCAGGTTCCAGATCTTAATTTATTTCTTGCTTCTCAAGATCTTGTCACCTTTCCCTTCCTTCTTTCCTGAGCTCATAGTCACTCAGCTGCCCTGCTATTGGGGTGAAATCTGTTGTGAAGCGAGCTTTGTGTGCTCCAGGTTTGAGTTGTACTACAGAATCAGAAAGGCCGGCACGTTGGCTTCAAACTCAGGATTGTGATTACTTACTGTTCTTAAGGATTGTGCTCTGATAGCCAGTTAAGAAACCAGCCATGGGAATGGTGAAATGGCTTGTCTTTTATCTTTGCTGATAAGCCTCCCTTAAATGCAGCCTGTAATTGTATAGAAGAGGTGAAAAACATCAAGGGAAATGACATACATACATCTTTGGGGCAGCGAGAATTATACTTCCTCAATTTGGGTTGCATTTCCTTCTGCCACTTGCTTTTAGGCAATTGAGTGTGGGTAGTGACAAGATATCAAACCCTTTAGTGTTTCCTTTTTGGGAAATGAGGCACTTAAAAAAAAAATAAAAGGAAAACGGATGCACCTGAGTCCTGAAACAGTTTGTCTTTCCAGTTTTCTGGCCTGCATTCTAGTTAGCTCTGGTCCAAGTTTACAGGACAACAGCCTTGCTTTAAGCCATGTCCTGTTGTGGCCAAGAACATAGCAACTGAGCTGTGACAGCCTACAGCAGGCTGATAACACCCTGAGGTCCATGGACTTCTTGGACATTTCTTAGACCAGGACTTCAGTCATCAGGAAGCCCATGAGGCCTTTTTAACTTTTTGGTGAGAGACTAAAGGAAGAAACAAAATGCTACTTTATAACTTCGATAATAGCTTGTAATTTATATTTAATGTGTGAATTTTTAGTCCTATATTTTAATAATTTGTAAATTGATCTCTCATTCCAAGAATCCTTTGGACTTGCAGGAGAACATCTGGGAGTCCAGTCCCCCGATCCCTCCCTGATCCCTGCTTTCTTGACTGTTTAAATCTACTTTGGGATTGGATCAAAGAGCCCAGGGAGCCCACTCATGGGTCCAGCTGGCCTCCTGACTCTAAAGCCTTCACTGGAGTTGGAACATTTGCTCCAGCCCTAGCTGTGAACATGACCAGAGACGTTATTTATAATTCAGCCATTCAAGATATACCTGTACTCAAAAAGTTCTGTATATTTTTTAAAAGTTTTATTTTTCAGGTGAACAAAAATACATTCTAAGAACTCTGCCTAAGCCTGTGTAAGTTGATCATTTCTCTTACTGGCTTTGTGGGGAATGAGTAGAGGTGCTCTGAGATCTGGTGGATGGGTGGTAATGAATAGGTTTAGGAGGAAAAAGCAATTGCCCTGCTATTCTCAATGCCCAATGGCTCAACTAAACTGATTAGTGAAGGGTGGTAGAATCTGTCTCAGTCAGGGAGCAGTCATGAGCTTGGAAAAAAGCAATGATACCTAGCTCAGCCACCTTTTTCCATCCTTGAAAAGGCTGAAAAAACTTTTGCTTTACAAGACTGGGCAGATGCCTGGCTGGCAAAGCTAAAGGGCCAGTGTGCATGAATGTCAAACTCTGTCACAAACATTAGTGTGCTGAGCGCTGCAGGCATCGCTCTTCTCATTTTTTTTTCCCTCAGTACTGGGGATTGAACTCAGGATCTTGTGCTTTCGAGGCAGGTTTGGCACCACTGAGCTAAATCCCTGGCCCTCTTCTTACTTTTAAATCCTTTATCCCTAGATAAGTCAGGAAGTGCAGCCAACTGCTTGGTCAAAGCTTTGTCTACCACAGAACTAAGAAGATGAGAGGTGTAGGTTGCTTCAAAGGTGAAGGATTTTTCTCCCTTTAAAGCAAAAAAAAAAGGCATGGTTGAAGAGCATAAATATAAGGGATTAGTTATGCTGCAAAATGCGTGGTAAGCAATTGAGCTGTGCTCATTATTAGACAATGCCGCCCAGTACAAATCCGGAGTGAGAAGCCAGGGTTGGTGGGGCCCCCTGAGGCCTGCACTTCACCAGAGCTGTTGGGGGGTAGCCACTGTGCTTTTACATTACCTTGTAGTCTGCAGGGGAGGCACGGAAAAAGTCCGCCCTTCCTTTGTTTCCCTCCAGCCTACACAATGGCTTTCTGTGAAAGGGCTTGGTAAGGCAGAGCAGAGGGGAGTGAAAGTTTCCAGGCTCTCTGAGTCAGCCCCTCCTTTCTGCAGAGGGTGACATGTGGCTTTTGGGGCAGAACACACTTCACATTTTGGGCACAGACAGCAGTAGGTTCAGCAGGAGCCTGCTGGCTGATGAGAAGGCCAGGTTGGGAGCAGTGGTCAGAACGGCTTTCTCTGCAAGCATTAGAAATGAGCCGCCAAATGGCCCATGTCAGGTTTTAAGCTAGGAGAGAGGCCTGTGTGGAGGGCGGGCGTTGCTTTCTTTCTGCTCCTTTGCACCTGAACTACAGACTGTTTCTAGGTGTTTGCTTACTTTAGAAGTTCCTGTAAACATTTCTTCCCTAGCAGCCTGAATTCAGAAGAAGAGAGAATCCCTTTGTCAAAGTGAAGTTTTAGAAGGTAATGGGGTCAGGGAGCCCTTTGAACTGCACTTCTGGGGCTATCTTTTCTGTCCTTTCTCAGTGCTCAGGTGCGAAGTGTTTCTCTGAAATATTTCTCTTCCTGACAGTTGTAGATTGCTACATGGTATGAGACCACAGTTTTCTAGCTTTTCTGTCTACTTTGTTTTTCAGATTTCACTGGGGAATTCTAAGATAGTGTGTTCTTTAGTTGAGTATTTATATCCTATTTTGAAATGCTGAGTACAGAGCATCTCCTTGTTCTAACCTGTTTCTTTAAGGAGAACTGAAAGGTCGGTCCCGAGCTTTAGGGCTACCACAGCCATTTAAAAGGGTCACAATTAGCCTTCCTTTCCTGTCTGCAGAGAATGGAGATATTTCTGGAATTATAATTCAGTAACAAAACAGTCACAGCTCTACTTTTTTTTTCTTTTTGCCCCCCTCGGCGGAGGAAGGGGCTGCAGTAGCTCTGCCATTTCTTATGATCCATGCTCAGTGCCTGGCACAGAGCAGTAGGTGCTCAGTTTGCTGATCGCCTGGTTAATTGTGCTGTTGGTAGAATTGGCCCTGCTGTTGTGGTGTCCCTGTCATAATCCACTTGTTTCCCTGAAACCCTGCCCCATAATCTGGTACAAAAAGACCCTACAAATTGTAGCCTCACTAACTCCTCTAGCCTCAGCTTCTGTATTTCTGAGAGGAGAGGCTCACATTGGGTATGCCTGTACTTTCCAGGAGCTAGAAGTCCACAGCTATATTCCCTGCAGTGCTTAATAGACATGACACAGGCTGTATGACCCTTATTGTTTCCTCTGTCCCGGCCCTAATGTGGAGCTACAAAAATAGCTGTTCTTTTGGCAGTTTTTGGTCACATATGTTTCACTTGCTGACATAGCCTGTGGTTTTGAGCTGCCAGAAAGCCTGGGTTATGCTTTTTCTTCCCTCTAGTAGCTAATTAAACAAAAAAAGCTTCTCTGCCACACACCCAGACTCCACCAGGCCCTCCATCCTTGGTCAGAAACAGTGCTGTCTCCCAGTGGTCCACCATCAGCCACCTGTCAGTGAGGGACACCCTGACCCGGACAGTCTCCCAGTGTGCCATTCAGTTCCAGAAACACTGACTAAGCCACCAGGAAAGGACCAGAAAATGACCAACAATCCTTGCCCTTTATACTCATGTTCACAAGAGTCTTCAACTGCTCTGTTTTCTTAATTCCAGTAATGTTTTTACAATAGCTTTTCAGTTAAAGAGGAATAAGAATTTAACTCATATCCTTAAGAATATTTACCATTCAAACTATTCACTGCCGGCAGTATGCCAAGTGAGCCTCCGAAGTCCCAAAACAAACTGCCCAAACAACAGCAATTGTATTCATTACCAGTGATTTCCATTTAAATACTTCTCTGCTCGCTCAGTGTTCACGGTCACTCTGAAGGTCTCCTGCACTTGGATACCAGAGGCCACCTGAGCTCTCTCCACTCCCTGCTTTTACCTGGGCAGTGTCAAGTCACAGCAGCCTGTCCTGGAGCTATGGACAGCTCATGACATCACTAGGACCTGTTGAGGAGGCAGTGCATCCTCAGAAAGGACCCCTGAACTGGAAGGTTGAACACCAGGGATCTCAACAGTGGCATTGATTAAGGCCCCGCTCCTCTCCCTTTTCTAACAACCAGGGAGACTGACTGCATGAGAAAAAATGGAGGTAACCGTGTGAAGGGCCTTGAGAACTTGGGAATAAAGCACAGTGTATACGTGTGAAACAATATATTTTCTTTTTTTTTTTTTTTGGTACCGGGGATCGAACTCGGGACCTTGCGCTTGTGAGGCAGGTGGCAGAACCACTGAGCTAAATCCCCAGCCCAAAACTATATTTTCAAGGGCATGTCTGTACCTTTGGGAAAGAACAATGCATGGAAAGAAAGGCGAAGGGGCAGGTAGTAAGCATGACACCAGCACCTAGGCCAACAGCATAGCCTCACCTGGAAATTTGATAGAACTGTGTCACCATAGGCCCAATCCCAGACCAGCTGAAGGAAAAACTCAGGAAGTAGAACCCAGCCTTCTATTTTAATCAGTTTTCCAGGTGATTTGGATGCACACTGAATTTGGGGAACCACTGACCCAGGCTTTCCTCTGATTTTGTGATGTAGGATTAGGATACTTCTGTTTGGATAGCTGGTTATCAAGGTGACTTATGATCCTTTTGCTTCCTTGAAGCCAGCTGCCCTGCTGGGAGAAGAGCCTGTGTCCCCCGAGTCTGTAAGAAAAGGAAAAACGCCTACATTGTTCATTACTTTTGACAGTGGCAGGAGAACTTGCCCTGGAGAGCTTGTTAAGGGAGGCAGGCCTGAGAGCTCCCCCCTCCTTTCCCTCAAAGGTACTGATGTGTCTGCCGCACCTCCTGTCCTAGGGCCTGCAGCTTCTCGAGCCAGTCCTTAAAAGGAGCAGTGGGTGCCACATTTGTTCTCTCTGGTGCCAGGTCTGCGCTATTTCATCTCCCCGGCGTCAAGTGGATGCCGAGTGAGTGGTGACGTGGCCCCAGCAGGCTTGCTGAGACAAAACAGCCTTTCTGCCAGCTCCACTCTTGCCCAGCCCTGAGCACTCCCCCCGCAGAGATGTCACGGGCACCCTGTCAGCCCCTCCTCATCAGCCCTAATAACCCCAGCTCAGAACAAGATGTTGGTGGGGTCTGTGGACATTGATAAATGGCCCAAGAAACAAGTGAAATATGTCTTCAATTTTTCTCTTCCATTGACTCCTTCCTCCTCAATTTAATGTACCAAAGAAGTATGGCCATATGGAGATTTTTGCCATTTCCTTGGGGGTGGGAGGATATGGCCATCTTTTCCTGTTATTCCTGTGCTTCAGGCCAGAGTTGATTGGTGGTCAGTCCTTCCAAACTTGTGTCTTGTTAGATTAGCTGGGCATCCCCTGCTTCCAAGGATCCCCAGTTAGCTGCCCCTTAACCATAAGAAGATATGGAAATGATGCTTCTTCCGGTGGCAAAATTTAACCCTAGGAAGCACAGAGCAAACTCCACAAAGGGGTTGGTTTCTGGGAGAAATGATAAAGCAACAGAAACTGTGCTATGAATTTGAGATTGTTCCAGATATAAATAGAAGAAAAGAGTAACCATTGTGAGCTTGAGAGCCAGTGTGCAGAATTAAGGGGAAGTGATAGAGCCAGTGGGTGAGCACAAAGGAGGTCCCTGAAAAAGCAGGGACACTTGGTGAGCTGTTTGCTCCACTGGAACACCCAGGGGGCATAAAAGAAGCGAACTGTCCCTAGAAGGTTAGATAACCCTACAAACCATCTCTCCTTCCCTAGAGAGCACACTGACCACCAGTGAAGATGAGGGTGAAAGAGAGTGACAAGGAGGTGACAGAAAGCAAAGTAGACAGAGATCACACCAAATAGCCACTTTGTTTATTCAACAGGTATTCACCAAGCCCCTGCTGTGTGCCAGGGAGACCACACTACAGTGTCTACGGTATGCCAGGTATATTTTTGCAAACTCTTTTCATTTTCTCAACAATCCTTCAAGGTCACTTTGCAGATAAGGAGACTGAGGCTTTAGAAGTTAAAATAGCCCGGAGTCACTCAGCTGACAGATGGCAGGCTAAAGTTCAGATTCAGTCTGTTAGATGCCAAGGCCAGTGCTCATTCCACTCTACCATGCTGCCTGTCATCAAAACACGTGACTTTCTTGTGTCTGGTCTACTCGGTTTTCTTTCTGCCAAGTGAGATGGGCCTGGGACAGAGAGGCCTCTCTGCCTTTTTAGCCCTCCTGTCTCAAGGCTTCAGGTAAAGCTGTTCTTTTCCTGCTGGCTCTCTCCTACTCCCGTGCGACCTTCTTGCTCAACTCCTCTGGTCTTATGTCTAGGTTCCTGATAGCCATGGTTAATGAAGTCCCTTGAAGAGTGGTCTTGTCTGTCATTAGGCAAGGGCATCTGAGAGGAAGGCTCGAAGCCAGGAAGAGATACTGCCAGCTTGCCATGATCCCAAGGTCTATGGAGGGTGCCTAGCTGTATTTCCTCTTCCATAGCTGGCTTCATCTTAGAGCAGCAAGGGCAGCCACCATAGCTGTTTTTTCCCTTATTTTGGAGAAGAGCTCTCCTTTCCCAGGAAAAGCTCAGGGTTATTTCCCTGCTCTACCATCTTGTCTTCCTGCGATGAAGACATCCTGTGCTATTCTCCCTTCTCCCCACTGCAGGAACCCTTTCTCCTAACAGTCTTCTGGATGCTCCCTCATGAAGGGAAGCTCCCTGTCCTCCAAGCCTTTCTACCCAAATTTCCCTCCTGCTTTGGTCCCTTCCCAAGGGCTGAACCAGGGCTCTGCCCAATTTCTCTATCTTCCATGGTCAAATGGGCCATAACTTACACCCTTTAATGAAGGTACAACTGTACAGCTGGCACCTGGGGGTCTATGGGATACAGCTGTGAACTTTAGAATTCAAATTCTCTCCTTTTTTTGTTTTTGATGTGCTACTGGGATCAAATCCAGGGCCTCTCTCATGCTAAGCATGTGCTCCACCACAGACTACACTGGGGACTACATCCCCAGTTCAGAATTCAGATATTTTATTGAAATCATTTTCAGAGACATCTGAACTCAAGGGCCTTCCCTGAACCTCCTCTGGCCCTCAGCCCTGTCCTTTGGGAGTTGTGAGCTCCAGGACCTGTGCCATACTACAAAGCTATAAACTTGTGACTAGAAGACAAGAGGAAAGCTTGAGCTAGGCGTCTTTGCTCTGGTCTAGATGTCTCCCGGGTGCATAAAGATGTTTCCAAGCCTTCCCCAGCTTCTGCTGACCTCACACCCACCGCTTTTACCCACTGGCCACCTAACATCCCTGACCAGCTTCTTGGTGCACTGCACGGAGTTGGCACCACCCCTCACTGATCCCTGGAGATTTTCCCAGGAACCTCTGCTTTGACTCCGCTCTGAAATCAAGATACTTTGTTGCTCCAGGCAGGGGTAACCCTTCCCTGCTCCTACATAGCCAGCAACCTGCCCTTTAGAATCTGCCTTCTCTCCCAGCCCTCCACGAATTTTCATCCGGACCCTTACTGTTCAAAAGGTGGAATCTAGGAACCAGCAGGAGCAGCAGGCCTCACTTGCAGGCCCTCTCCAGAACCTGCTTGACTCTTCACAGAAAGGGTGAGAAGGGTTCTCCATCTGGTCTGCTGAAGAGATAGATCCCTTTCCTGAGTAGAGGATGGGGGAGGAGCCAAGAGCCAGGGAGGAAGAATGAGCTGCCACCCCACAGTTCTGACCCCATAGGTAACGGTAGTGACATCCGGAGGATGATCTGGATTCTCCCTAGAGCCTCAGAGGGCCTGTGAGGTCCACCAGCCTCTCAGGAAGACCCACACAGAGAGGAGGGGAGCAGAAGGGGCCACATGCTGAGGTCCAGGCAAAGGCTTGGGTGCAGAGGGCATGGGTCACATAAAACAAGAGCCTCTGTCTCCACCAAGCAGAGATGGCTGTTTCCCCTCCGGCTCCTACCACTGTCCTGCCCCCAGTGCTTTCAGGCGTCTATAGCCAAGAACAGCACCTGCTGTTCAGCCTAGAGCTGCCGATGACTGGGTTTCTTCCCTCCCTCTTGCTGGCAAAGCCACCATCGCCCACCGGCTGGATTACTGGTAGAGGGTGCTCAGGAAATGTTGAATTGAAAGGAAGCCACAGCTTGTGCAGAGTCTGGATAATTCACCAGGCATGGGCCTTGGGGGAGAGGGAGGAAATGGAGACTAAGTAGGAGAGACAAGACCTGATGTCCTACTTAGCTGGAGTCACTGTCCGTCTGGCTCTTGAGTCTCCGTCTCTGATTCCTTCCTTCGGCATGGCCTTGGTGCAGGAGGTAGGGGAGGAGAGGGCAGGAAATTACCCTTGTCTCCCTCCGGGTGCACATGATGTCTGATCCGGTGTCGGGGAGAGGGGTGCCTGCTGGTGAGCGCTCCCACCCTGCTGTGGGTTCAGGAGGTGTCCCCTCCCCAGGCTGCCCTGTTTCAGAGAGGAGGCCTTTCTAAACACCTTTCTTTTCGCACTGTCTACTCTTCTATTCTGCTCCCAGCCCAGTCTCTGCCAACTGGACCTCAGGGTCCTCTTTAGGAGAAGCAGGAGGCTGACAGGTGATGGCTGAGATCCTCCGGGCTTGGCCATCCTGGGAGTCTGGGACTGTGAGTGACCTGGGAGAGGGGCAGGGCATGAAAAGGACCTGGGCTTGGGCTTACCATGCCAGCTGAGCAGAAGCCCTAGAGATGATGGGTAGCCAGGAAGACCAGGTGCTGGGGGTTACCAAGCCCTGCTCTGTCACCATGGTAGAAAAGGCTCATGACCTGGGGAGCGGTGGGCACAGGTCAGGGAACCACCCTTGGATACCTGGTCCCAGCATAGGAATATGCCAGGGGCCCGAGCCTGCCTAGGAAGACCCACATGTGCTCAGGGACGCGAAGGTGAGGTGCAGGGTTAAGGAGGCGGCCCTGTTGACGGGTTTGCCACACTACTCAGCCAGGCTAGCACAAGCCACCAGCAACCAGACTTCTGACTGAGTTTCTGCTTCTTCTCCCCAGCCCAGCTGCTGGCTCCTGGGAGCCATGCTCAGCATCTTCCCGAAGGGCCAGGACCCCCTGTCCTGCTCCTCACACCCGTGCCTCTCACTCTTTGGCTGGTTCCTCTGGGGCCCCTGCTGGTAGGAGTCAAGCTCTGCTGGGCTCCAGCCTTGGCAGCCCTGTCCTCTCTGGGCTCTAAGGCCCCTGCTCCTTTTTTTGGTCCAGAGAAAGTCTGGACTTCTGGCCTGGACTGGTGGTCATTACACCCCAGGGGCTGTTGCTGAGAGCCACCTGGCAGGGACACTGGGCTCTCCTGGGCCCCAGGCCCTGGGCTGAGCACACATGCACTCTCTCCAGGCCTGGGGCTGCTGGGTCCTCCTAGAGAGAGGTCAAGTGGAGCCAGGTCAGTATTTTGGGGAGAGCCAGGGGCCGAGTTGGCTGTCGAGGCTCCCAACTCCCCTTTTGGCCCCTCTGGGGAGGCTGGGGCTGGGCCGCTTGCCAGGCTCCCCTCCAGTCGGCCCAGCTCCGTGTCACTCTGCTTCTGCGCATGCTCCTCCTCTGCCATGGAAGGCTTTCTGGTGCTCTGGCTTCCCTGAAACCAGAGAATAGCCCAGCTAGCTGGTGAGTTCAGGCCTCAGGTCCCCAGCCTGCCCCAGCCTCCGCCCTAAAACCCACCTCCTGACTCTGCAGCTCCTCCTCCTCTTCCTTCGCTTCCCACCTGCAGAACACAGAACATGAAGGCCCACTTTGCATCACTCCCCACCCCATAGCTGATGGCAGAAGAAGCTAAGGCCTAAGGGTCTCAGAGCAGCGTCAGAACCAGAGTGAAGCTCCAGGATGCTTCTCTGCCAGCCTGACCTTGTTCCCCAAATCCAACCATCTCTTCTGAATGCCGCCCACCTTGGCTCCATCCTGGGTCCTCAGCTGCTGTTTATGGTCAAGCCTGCTGCACCTGACCTCCACAGGGACTCTAGGCATGTCTCTGCCTGCACTGCCTGGGAAAGGAGCACCTCACCGCCCAGGGGAAGGGAGCTGCTGTAATTACAAGGCCTCCCTGGGCACCAGGCTCTGTGCCTGCCGCCTCTGTTGGCCTCTCCTGGCATCTCATTAACCTGTGCCAGGCAGCAGCCAGCCAGAAGGTGTGGACCCTGGGGATAGAGCAGGCATCTGTACCAGGGCCGTGCGGGAGAGCAGGATGCCTAGGTTCCTGCTTTGATTTTGTCCCCTGCCACCTGTTACCTTCGGGCCCTGCCAGTCAGCCTCTCTTTCCCCCAGGGTTTGCCGCTTGTGGCTGGCAAAACTGAAGGTCTGCCAGGCTGTTCACCTCGACCTGCAAGACAGGGTCCACCATCAAGGAGAAGAGGGTGTAGCAGTTGACGGGACCCTGCTCCTCCAACTCACCTTTCCCAACAGGGGAAAACAGTGGGGGCTGTACCTTCCGCTGGGCCCTGAGACCTAACAGGGGACAAAAGAAATGGGGGAAAGGTGTGGTAAGAGAAGATCCAGGGCAGAAACACCCATTCTTCTGGCACCAGGAAGTTACCAGTCCTGATACACTTGTGGGTTTTCTGCCTCCCCAAAAGAGCTCTGGCCTGGAGACCTATGCTTTGTTTGCCAGAACATGGCTGGGTGACATGGACCAGCCACCCACACAGCCCCCTGCTTTCTTATATGCAGAATGAGAGGGCCAGAAATCCACAGGGTTGTTCCTGCAGCGGGCCGGGGCCATGCAGCCTTTAACCTGATGGGGAATATCTCCTGGGAAGACCCAGGGCTGGCTTGCTGCGGTCTGCTGGGGCCAGAACCTGGCAAGGGTTGTGGACTCAGAGGATGGGGGGAAGGTGTGACAGTGCAGGAAAGGAAGGGAAGGAAGATGTCTTCCCGGGGTTCCTTTTAGCTCTGAAAAGAAGCAGGAAATCAAGAGACAGAGAGAAAAAAAAAAAAAAGACAGAAAGAGGGTGGAGGTGAAAGAACTCAAGGTACAGGGGTGAGGTGGATGTGGGCTCACCCTTTCTGCTGCCCACCCTGGCCGGACCCTTGTCCCGGGCCACGCCGCTGTCCTGTAGCCTGTGTGGACAGAGAGGGGAGTCAGGTGCGGGTTGCAGGGTGCAGAGAGGTTACAGCAGGCTCCACACTGACACTGCCTCCCCAGCCCCAGAGCTAAGGGCAGCAGGGAGACAGCGGGCCCAAGAAAGGGGGGACCCCTGCTCAAATAGAGCCCTGAGCCTGGCCTGACCCAAAGGGCTCAGGAAGGTCCCTGCCCTCTAAGCAGGACCCACACTCAGCTCTACCAGTCCCACGCGCAGGTCGGCCCAGCAACCTCTCAGCCCTGCCACCCACATGGGCTTGGCCTTGTCCAGGTCCCACGGGCGGCGCCAGTCACCCTGTGCATCTCTGTGTCGTGCGAGGCGGGCCAGGTCAATCTGCACCCGCTCCTGCTTCCACTGGGCATAGTCCCAGCCCAGCGTCTCTGGGGCCTGCCCCACTGGCTGCCGGGGCGCTGGGCCTGGGACAGTGCCTGGACTCCGGGGCTCCCAAGCACCCTGCAAGAAGAAGACACTCAACACCATGGGGACAAAGGCAGGACAGGGACTGGAGACTCAGAGGTCCTCCTTCCTAACCCTTCCACTCCTGTGGTTTCCAGGTCCCCATCTGAAAATGCAATCTGGTCCCTCTCTAAGTGTCTCTCTGCTTGCCATGGGCAGCTGTGTCACTCACTAACTGTGTGTTTGGGGCGAGTAACTTGATACCTCTCTGGGTATCATTTCCTCGTCTGTAGATTGAGGCTAACAACAACACCGACACGACACGCCCACGCCGAGCTGCTGCTGGGGTGTTTAGGACCGCCTCGGGTGGGAAAGCCACCCAGAGCTGAGAGCGACAGCAAGGGCTAGGGGCTGCTGCCACCTAGAGGTCACAGCTGGCACAAGGCCAGTCCCCTACACCCCCGCCCCTGCCACCAGGTGGGCCGGGAGGGTAGGGGGCCAATCACGTCTCTGGCTTAAACTGTCCCTAACAGCAAGGCCCACCCAAAGTGGAGCCTGGCAAGGAAAGGAAGGAGGGCAGGAATTCTCACAGAGGATGCCTCCGTCCTGTCCCTGCACATGAGGATCATAGCTCAGTCAGCTTCTCTGCCTCCGGAAACGAGGACTGGCACATTCACGTCCCCACCTCTCTGGAAGATGTACCTTCCGCACAGAATCCGAGCTGACAGCCGTCTGCGAGGGGGAGCTCCGGCCCCAGCCCCCTCCAGGTAACCCACCTGGCCCCTGGCTCGGTGCTCTAGTGGACTTCTCACTCACGATCCGTTTAGCCTGGGGAGGGTGACGATGGGCTTCGTGACAGAGCCTGGGGAGAAGGGACTGCCCACCGGGACCTGGATGCCCCACCCCTGCTCACCTTGGCTTTGTTTTCCATGGTCACGGCCAATTCCACTCGCTCCCCCAAGCAGAAAGTGCCCCTATGGTCCTCTGCATCCTCACCCTCGACCATCTCATTGGGCACTCCAGGCCCAGGAGGGCTCCTCACCCAGTTCCTGCTGACAACTCGCTTCTCCTACCATGCAAGACACCCATTCATTTCCTCAGGCTGCACGGCCGTGCTGGACAGACCTGGGTTCGGTCCCTCTGGGTGGATCCCCAGACCTGGGTTCCAGTCTAGACCCTCCCTGGGATGCCCTCAGGGAAGCTGGCAGTTCACATGCCAATGGTATTAGGTAATCCAGAGCCCAGGGCCTCTTGGGGCCCAAGATGCTACAGTGGCCTGTCGTCTTGAGCTGGGAACTCTGGGGTGCCCAGACAGTGGGGCTTTGTCTCAGACTCTGCTCCTGGCCTTCGGCCCTGGCTTCTCTGTCCCCCACTTTCTGCAGAGTTTTTAGTCCTGGGGTCGGGAGTTAGGAGCAGCCTATGCCTTAGGGCATAGGTACAAGGCTCCCAGGCTGGAAAAGGGTATGAGGAGGCTTCTATTCAGTGACCTTTCAGCTGTGTCCCTTTGAGGGGACAATAATGGCTGTGCTATGTGAGGCTGGGACTTCCAGGTGCACCCCAGAGCAGAGAATGAGAGGAGACAGGAGCAGTTGTCCTCCCTGGGCACGAGCTGGGCCTCCACCCTGACACCCTGCCCTGTCTCCAGGGTGAGGCTTACACCGGGAACCTGGCTGATGGTGACGGTGAGGCTGTCTGGTAGGAGGAGCCCTGGTGTGGTCACAGCCATGCCCCCCTGTTCCGCCTGCCGACGGTCTTCCTGGATCTCCTGTGGGAGGGCCTGGGGTCAGCACTGGCCACGGCCCGCTAGACACACAGACATAGACACTGACAGGCCCACACAGTGAGACCCCAGTGGGAGACCCCAAGGGCAAGTCCCCAAGACCCTGGGCAAACCTCTGGTCGGGGGGTGGTCAAGCCCACCCCAAACCTGGCCCCAGTCCCAGAGATGAGTTCCAGAGCCTACAGGGAGAGCCTGCCTGCCATGCAGGGAGGCATCTTCAAGTCAGCCAGGGCATCAGCCAGGTCAGCCCACACCTCACGGAGCCCAGCCACTCACCTGGTACCTGCGAAGTAAGGCCTGGTTCTTCTTTCGCAGGGCAATTATCCTGCGATCCAGCTCTGCATCCTTCTCCTGCTGCCTGCTCATCGGGGACTCAGCTCTATGGGGCCCCTACAGAGGGCAGGAACCCCAAGCTCCTGACTGCTACCCGCTTCCTAGTTCCCCAGCTTTCCCACCCGGGCTTATTCTTGCCTCCCAAGGAACTGGCCCCAGGCACGCAGGAAGGTTACATGAGAGGGAAAGGAGTTCCTTGGGAGATGGCCCGTAGAAGTCCTCTGGCCCGTCACCCGTAAGCCTATCTGCCAGTCTCTGTCGCCCACCCCTGGGGGGTTCAGGTCAGGGCCCACGACCCAGGCCACCGCTCCAACAGCAGGCTGCCCCTCCCCCAGCTCTCCAGGGAGCCCCACTGTGAGCAGAGCCTGGAATGGAGTTATAAATGGCTCTGGCAGCAGAACCTGCCCTGACTGGGAAGCTGCCAGGGGATTCGGGAGGTCAAGGGGGAGCTGTTCAGCTCCCAAATCCAGGACCACAGAAAAGAGAGGCTTCAGCTTGGTCTTGGGCTCTCAGGCCTAGACCCGGCTGCACGGCCTGTGTCCAACCTGCAGGAAAGGGCCAGCCCTTCAGGCCAAGCCGCCAGTGGCGGATGGCAGGAAAAGCAGCTCTGTCACACGGGGAGCCGCCCTAGGCAGGACGGGTCTCAGCATGAAGCTCCGGCCCTCTGTCTGGCTGCAGGGCCTCTGCCGTGCCAGCGTCCCTCTGACCCTCCATCTGCCTCCTCACAGACTTCATCTTCCCAGGCCCAGTGGTGCCCAGCTGCTCCCGGACTGTGACTACCCCTATCTCAGCCCTCTCCCAGCCCCAAGAAGCCCCCCGCCAAGGCGAGGTGCCACTCACAGCTGGGTACATGGCAACAGCGGGCACGGAGAGAGTTCCAGAGCAGCCCCAGGGGAGCCAGAGCAGGAGGGAAGCCGGAGCCGCCGGAGCCGGGCCTCTCCCTGCCGGCTTCGCTGCTCAGCACACGAGATCATGTTGTGATTACAAAAGACTCCTCTGGGCTCCCAGCCAGGAACGCTGAGCCACCACCCCCACCCTTCCACTCCCAGAGGGCAGGACCAGGGCACCGGCACCGGCAGCCAGCCGGTCGTGCCCAGCACCTCTCCCGGCCCTGTCCCAGCACCGTCCCAGCACCCTCCAGGACTTCTGTTGAGCCCACACAGGAGGCAGGACCTCTGCCTGGGCCTGGCTGCCAGAGGCAGGCCTCTATCCCTCCCACCGGGCCCTGAGATCTGAGGCCTCCACTTGGGTTGGCCTCCCTCTCCAGCCTTGGTTTAAGGCATTCAAGGCTTCAAGAAGCTCACCTCCAGCTACCACACACTACCTCATACCTGAAATACCATGTTAGTCCGGCCAACACAGCCACTCCTGGGAGGGGCCCTGTCGTCTGGTTTCTGACCCTGGGCATGAGGCCTCCCTCCAGGGCCCTTAGCATCAGCTCAGAGCACTGACAGCCATCCTCCCTTGGGCTCCTCACGCCAGGCCCTTCCTGGTTTTGCTCTTTCCTTCTGGCCTCTGACCCAGGGGAAGGACACAGCCCTTCTCAGGAAAGCTTCTCCCAAATCATCCTTGCACAGCTGAGGGTGGTGCCCTTGCCCTGCCCAGCCAGTCCCATCCTGGAGCCTGTGGAACCAAAGGCTTGGGGTACCAGGGAGCGTGGTGCACTCTCCATTAGGAGAACCTGGGGTTGGCTCCAGTAGTTACAAGGCCCTGACTTCCAGGCCCTGATCCGTTAGGACCCTGGCATGCTCTACATTCCTGCCTGACCGGGCCTAGTTTCCCTGTCCCCTCTTTCTGCAGCAGAAAGCCTCTCTGCTTCTCTGTCTTCCCAAACCAGCCCAGGTAGCCAGAGGCAGAATCTCTGCTCCCCTTTTTCCTCCCCATCCTCCCCCTGCTCCCCCCCACTCCACCACACTTAGCCCTTTCCCTCCCCAGGACTTCACCCGGCCCCACACCCCATCTCTGCAGCGCCAGAGTTCCCATCCTGCTTGCAAATGCCACTGCGCTCTCTCCTCCTTTCCTGCCGGATGTTCCCACTGAGTCACACGCAATCTCCTCTCCCAGAAACAGTGACGCGCCCAGGCTTCTCATCCTGGGCCCCACACACACGTTCTCTCTCTCTCTCTCTCTCTCTCTCTCTCTCTCTCTCTCACACACACACACACACACACACACACACAAGCGCACGCTTCTTCTCCCACCCTCTCAGCATCCTGCCCCACACAGGCTGCTGACTTTCACCCTCAGAAACCTCAGAAGTCTCCAGGAGCCTCCAGCTCCCCATCACCTGCCCCCTGCTGCTACTGGAATGGGGAGGACCCCAGAGTCTGGCCTGGGAGGGAAACTAGTGTCCACCACTCCTTTTGGAACTCAGGCCCCAGGTCCAGTCCAGGGAGGAGAGATGTAGACAGAGGAGGCTGCTGGGAAGAGGCAAGGTTTTTGTCCCTTCGGTCCCATTCCCAGCCAGGGTGGGGACAAGGGAGCAGCAGGTGCCTGCAGAAAGCCGTGCATCCCGCAGGGAAGAGAGCCAGCTCTTCTAGAAGTGCCTGCCTGCCTGCCTGCCAGGAGAGAGGCCCCTGACCTAGAGGCAAAGGCTTTCTGGTCCATCAGGCTGGAGGCCCACGCGCCCAGGACAGGCCCACAGTCAGACAGGGGCCCGCAGTGGCTAGCTGCACGTCCCAGGTGTTACTCATACGATACACTATGCCTCTGAGCAGCTCCCGCATCTGCCGCCTTCTGCAGAACCTGCAGTTTGCCTGTCTGCCCCACCGTTGGGCAGAGGCTTCTGAAGGCAGGGATCAGGGACCTCAGGATCCCCAGGCTCTGGCACAGTGAGCCACGTAGGCTGCGGAGCCTCTCCATCAGGGAGTGCAGAAGGGATCTGGAACCCACGTTATCCAGAGCACTGCTGTGGGAATCCTGCTCGCACCCTGTGATTGCCTTTCTTCCCCGCTACCTCAGCATGCACCAAGCCTGCACCCTGTGATTGCCTTTCTTCCCCGCTACCTCAGCATGCACCAAGCCTCGAGAGAGCTGGCGCCTGACAAAGGCCTCTAAGAGTGCATTCCTCCTACCCTGGGTAAAAATCGGCAGGAAGCAGAGGGAGGCAGAGAGAGGGACCGGGGGATGCTCCCAAGAGACTGCAGTGCTGTTACTGCGTGCAACCACCAGAGGGCAGCAGCGTTACAGAGTCTGGTAGATGTCTCTTCTACCCTTTTCCCTTCTAGCACCTCCCAAATTTAGGTCACCCTCACCTTCCAACTCCATTAGACTGGAGAAGACTTATTTAGTTGATGAGGAAACAGGCCCAGAGAGGTGGCATCTTCTCCCTGGGAGGCACAGCCTGTGTGTGTTACAAATGAGACTAGAAGCCAGGACACCCAGCTCCCTGCCACTGCCATGCAGACTTCACTCTGGGCCCTCCTCTCCCAGGCTGGGGCTGGGCCCCTTGTCCCAGCATCTCAAGGCAGGGGTGTGGGTCAGGCTGTTCCCTGGCCGGTCCCCACCCTCCCAGGCCACCTGGCAGCTCAGGCAACAGCCCCACCCTAGGGTGGAGGTATCTGGACCTCATTCGTGGTGTTCAGAACAGATCTGGAACCAAGCTTGAGGACAATGTGGATTCAAATAAGCTTCTCTCTGAGCAGCAAAGGGAAAGGAGAAAGCTCGAAAAGGCCCAGGTTCCCCGGGGCCAGGCAGAGGCTCTGACCGGGGCCAGTGACCCTCAGACCTCAGTGTGACCAAGCCCTGCTTGCTCCTCAGCCTTGTTCTAGAAGGAAGCAGAAGGGTGGGAGGTGGGCTCTAGACCCTTCGCTCCTTACTGGTCCTGGTCTTCAATTCTCTAATTGTCCTCTCTGAGAGAGGTGCACACACCTCCCCCAACCCCCACCCGAGTCCCTTGGCGATAACATGGGTAACATTTATACCTGGAACTAAAAAAAGATGGCCAGTGCTGGTGCATGCCTGTAATCCCAGAACTCAGGAGGCTGAGGGAGAAGGATCATGAGTTTGGGGCCAACCTGGGCTACACAAGGCCTTGCCTCCAGAACAAAGTGTGGCCCAGATTAAGGCTTTCAACAGTTGTTTTTTGTTTTTGTTTTTGTGTTTGCCTCAGGTAACTTCATGGTAGCCACTTCCTGATCATCCTCTGAGGGGCCCTCAAGATGGGGGGAGCAGGTTGAGCACATTAGAGACTTCTGGGTTACAGGGCCCATCCGTCCCCTGGTGAGGCACAGCTCAGCACGCTCTCTGTGCCTCCCTTCATGTGTCCTGGCAAATCCTATGGGCCAGGTATCCGAGGCAGCCCTGTCTGCTCCCTTCCCTGTGCCCTGTCCTTTCTGGCTCTCCTAGAAGTAGTCCTGTGCTTCACCTGCCTCTGGCTTCACCGAGCTGTCCCAGGCCCACGTCCCAGTGGCCAAGTCTTAGAGGTCACTGGTGCCATTTGCCAGGTCTAGGTGGGTGGGTGCTGAGGAAGAAGGTGGGCAAGGCTGGCTGCATGACTACCTGCTGCCACCCCCGACAAGACAAGCAAGAGGGTGGCTTATGCACAGGCTCCTTTCCTACATACCCTCTCCCGCCCCATGCCCTGCCGTGAATATTCTTTCTTTCTTTTTTTTTCCTCAACAGAGTCTTGCTTATGTACTTCAGGCTGGCTTGAACTCACTATGTAGCCCACTTACTTGTAGGCTACTCACTTATGGGGTTGACCTGGAACTTGCAGTGACCTTTCTGCCTTAGCTTCCTGAGGGCTGCACCACCAAGCCTCACAAGATTCTTAATTCTATGATGAGAAGTCTGTCAGGCCAGGCCTGGCCTTGAGTGAGGAGATCTCAGAGTACACGAGATGGGGCTGGTCAAGCTGCCAGGATGAAGTCTGGGCCCCGCCCTCCACACCAGAGCAGGGTGGCATCTGTGGCCGGGAGGCAGGCCTGCTGGGACCCACTCCATTGTGTCCTCTCTAGCCTGGCCCAGGAAGGGGAGGACCACCGAGTGTGGGAGCAAGCCCCTGGGGTCTCCATGCTTAGGCCTCTATTCTCCAGGTGGGTGCAAAGAGGCCTCCTCACAGTGCTTGCCCAGAGCTCTGACCCTGACCCCAGCGCAGAGCCACCCCGAGCAGAGAGTGAGTACTGCCCCGTCAGGACTTGTCCTCGAGTGCCATTAGCAAGCCTGCTTCGTGCCTTGTGGCTGCGTGAGAGAGCTGAGGGGGAAGAGGTGGGGAAGCGATGGTGGCTTGACCCGCAAGGGACACCAGGTCCAGAGGTACAGGCATGACTAGGGAGTCACTGGAGACAGACTGAGGGGTAAAGAGGCAGGCACGGGATGATCAGCCGGGGGCTGACGGAGGTTCAGAAGCTGAAGCCAGAAGGGTTCCACTGGGTTGGTTGCGGGGACGGATACTGGAGGAGTCTCCTGGCCAGGCAGGCAATGGTGGTCAAGGGGAGGAGTGAGCAGGAAACCTTCAGGGGCCTCAGAGCCTCAGCATGGCTGCACGGGGGCAGAGCCACAGGAGAAGTAAGGCTTTGGCCTGGGGGCCTCCATGGAAGCAGGGGGCAGTAGAGCTGGCCTGCATGTCCCCGGGGCTCTCCTGCCTCTGGGCCTCGAGGAAGGGAGGCATCAAGTCAGGCTGGGGCTGGAAGGCCAGCTAGGATGGTCAGACTCCACCTCCTCACCTAGGCTTGTCCAGGAGGGCAAGGTCTGGCGCAGTTTTGAGGGGTGAGAAGGAAGGAGACCCACCAGCGGGCTGCGGATGTGTGAGAGGGTGGAGCAGAGTGGGGTCAGGGTGGCTACGGTTGGGAGCTTTCCCCCGACCTGGAGGGTCTAGGCAAGAGAAAGTGCACGCCAAACACCAGGGTGGCCATGGGATGCAGGAGGCAGCCTGAGGGTAGGGAGGGAAGTAGAGTGACTCATCGCCCTCGTGGGTATGGACTGTCCCCATGTCAGCACTGACAGGCCAGCCCTGGGAGTCCCTCTTGGTCCTGGGGACAGAGGGTGTTCTGGGAGGCTGAGGAGCGGAGAACACCTCTCAGGGGCCATCACAACGTGCTCCGAGGAACGGCAGAGGCCAAAGCTGGTGCCCTTTCAAGGAGGCAGGTGCATGGGAAGGAATGATGGGACCGGGAGCAAACAGCCCACGATGCTCACATGACAGCAGGATGCCTGCCCTGACCGCTGCCTCCTGCAGGCCATAACTCCTGGGAGGTCTTCCGATCTCTTGAGGCCCTGGAATCTGTGACTTAGCCAGGGTACGTGCTGTTGGCTCCTCGGTGGAGATCGGGGTCAGTGACCTGCCCAGTGACCTGGCCACTTGACCCAAACCACAGAAGCCACTCTGCAGCACTCCTTCCTGCCACAGCCAGGGTGGGCATCTGTGCCCTCATGCAGTGAGAAACCTGTCCACCAAACCAGGCCAAGCCTCCTAGATACCCACGTCCTGCTCACCCCGCCGGTGGCCTTGCTGGTTCTGCTGAAAAGCACTGGGAGTCACAAGAGGGGCCTTCACTGCTTGTTCTCACCCTCCCAAAGACCCCTACCTATGGCCTCCCTGCCCCAGAGGCTCCCTTCAGCCTGTTCCTGTCCACCACCTCAATCCCAGCTCCTCATCCTAGAAATGGTTCCTCTGGCTCCCCTGAGTCTCCTTCTTCTCAACTCTGTGGCTTTTAGGCAGCCAGGTGCCACCTCTCAGCCAAGCTCCAAGACCAAGCACTCAGGGAGCACTTACTCTGTGTAAGGCCCTGGACTGGGAGGTAGAGGGGACACACACATGGCTGGAGCTCTGCTGGCAGAGCTGGGGAGGAGAAAGAGGCTCTGAGTGCACAGCACAGAACGTGCTATATAAAAGCAGCACAGAACTATTATGGTATCCTCCTTCCATCCTGCAAGATCCCTAGTTCTTCATGCCTCTCAGACTGCCCTGTCTTCTCCGTCCACCCAGTCAAGGCAGGGCCTGTCTCCTCCACCGAAGGCCTTAGTAGCTCCATGCAGTGACCCAGACCAGCAGCTCAGACTCTGACTCCGAGACAAAAGCTGGGTTTTGCAGCTGGAACCCAGGGCATTGCCCCCATCCCCTTGGGCATCCACAGGACATGGGCCTCTCTTTTCAGTTTTCTGCCCAGGCTGGGGTTGGGGGTAGGGGTGGGGACATCGAGCCACTAGGGAAAAGGATTCTTGCAAGAAGAGAGCTGGTAAGGTCAGGGTGTGGATGAACATGGGAACTGCCACTTGTCCACTGTGAGCTAGAGCCAGGACCCTGGGAGCACCACATCTTTGTAGACCTGCCCCTCCCAGAAGCCTGACCGTCCCCACCTTGACTCCTGCCCTACAGTGACAACTGTGTACAGAATAGAGTAATAGCTCCCCTGCCTAGTCATAAACCAAAGTCCTCTGCCAGGATGTTACCAAGGCGACTGGTGTTTTTCAGCATAGCATTCCTAAAAGGGGAGAGACCTACCATGAACGAGGGAGGGCCCAAGGTCTGGACCCAGACAGTCCCTGCTCAGAAGGGATTGCTTGGCTGGGCAGCTTCAGGCAAGTTTCTAAAGTCTCTGTTGTTTTTTGTAATCTGCCAAAGAGGGGAAGATTATAGTGCCTCCAAGAGCTGAACCAAGGCCAGTGATACAGCGGAAGAGCCTGACGTACAGAGGCTTTCTTCTGCACCACAGAGATGAAGAAGCACTCTGCTCTTCTCCCCTGTTCAAGTTGTTTTCTAACCACAGTTAGGGTGTTTTTGATTTTACAGCTCTAATTGAGGTTGAACTGATCTGCTATAAACTGCATATTTAAATTGTGCAGTTAGGCCTGGCGTGCATGGTGGCACACACAGTGGTAATCCCAGCACTCTGGGAGCCTCGAGCAGGAGGATCACGAGTTTGACACCAATCTGGGCAAGTCAGCAATTTAGTGAAACCCTGTCTCAGGATAAAGAATACAAAAAGGTCTGAGGATATAGCTCAGTCTGAAAGCCCTAGGCTCAGTCCCCAGTATCACAAAATAAACAAATGAACGAAATATGGACTTTGATTTTTTTTGCCATATGTATGTTGCATAAAACCATCATCCCAGTCAAGATAATTGATGTAACCTTCAACCCCAAAATGTCTCCATGTCCCTTTTTAGTATCTTCTCCCAGTCACTCCCCTTCCACCCTATTCCCAAGAACAGACTGGTTTAAACTTAATTAATGTTAATTAATGTGCCATAGCCCATGTGGCTGAAGGATCCACAGAGTGAGAAATAACATGGGAGATTAAGAAAAGAAAAAGAGATACAAAGGGTGGGGCCAGGTGGAGCTCTACCTCCTGATGGGAGAAAAGACCACCGGGCACTTTTAGCACATTCATTTATAGTGGTAGAGATAGCGGAAGTGCAGGGGGAGGTCAAAGGGGCTGGTCTGTAACGGGAGCCAGGAGAGTAGCTAAGGTCTGCAGGACATCATGTGTGACAGTTTTCTGGCAAATGGGCAGGAGGAAGACAGGCCTTGCTCCAGGCCTTGCTCCACCACACTCTCTTGTCCTCTGTTGTCCTCCTGCCGGGCCCTGCCTTGTTCGAAAGCAAACAAGATGCGTGTTCCTCATTCCACTCAGGGCCCTGACTCATCTGGGGGAGGAAGCGAGTTAGGCCTGGCCATAGTGATCTACAGCACAGTGCTCCCAGCATTAATGAGTTTACATTTTCTAGAATTTTATAGATGCAAGTACACAGTATATATTCTTTATGTTTGGCTTATTTGTCACACAGTTTGTTCTTTCCTATCACTGGATAATATTCCATTGAATACACGTATCACACGTGTGTGGTGTTTGTTCATTCACTTAGAGATGAACATTTGAGAAATGAGCTATTCCAAAAGATACTCTGAGCATTCAGTACAATTCTTCATGAGGACCTATGTTTTCATTTCTCTTGACTATGCAGTACGTGTTACTTTGGGTTTTTGGGGGTTTTGGTTTTTTTTGCAGCACTGGGGGTCAAACCCAGGACCTTGCACACGCTAGCAAAGCACTCTACCACTGAGCTACATCCCCAGCTCTGTTACTTTTTTTTTTTCTTAACCAGGGATCGAACTCAGGATCTTGCGCTTTTGAGGCAAGCGGTGGAACCACTGAGCTAAATCCCCAGCCAGCTCTGTTACTTTTTAAGAAATGAATCAACTACAGTTCAAGTGCAGTCAGCTCATGAAACTCTTAACAGGCAGACCTGGAAAGAACGACTGCTTTAACTTTTCTATTCCTGCTTTCACATGGTTCCCATCTTCTTTAATCAACAGGGGGCCAACCAAGCCCTTTTGCCTCACTGAGGACAGAATCTTTGACATCTTCAGTTTTGCATAGCATTGTAGGATCAGGGAGGGCCACTTCCTTCTAAATATGTAAACGAGAGAAAATATAAACACAAATATAAACCACAGAAAAGGAAGCCAGTTTTTACTCAACCATCCTAATTCCAGCCCTTCATTCATTCACCAAATATTTCTTAAATAGCTACTAATGTCAGAAGAACTGCAAAGGCCAGTCCCTGGGAATGCAGCGAGAGAGCCGACAGAGCCACCACAGTCCTTCCATTTAAGGAGCACAGACGCCAGTGAGAGCAAGAGAGTTTAGAAGAAAGGGGCCAGGGAGCCAGTGAGCTTGTCGCAGGGGCCTCTGGTCTGTCTGCTAGAGGACACTGAGCAAGGGCTTGAGAAGGCCAAGAAAGCTATTGGTCTGGGATCCTAAATCCTGGGTCCTTTCCCCATTGTTGTCAGGATCCCATCCCAAGTCCCCCTTTCTGAGGGGGCCTGAATCAAGACAAAGATTGCACCAGGCTTTCTGCTAGGGTCACTATTTTCTCCATCCTGACTTGTCTGAAGGAATCACTGTGTTAACTATTGTGTATAAAGCATTTGTGTAGGGCCTGGCATTTAGTGGGAGCTCTGTAAATGTCTAAAGCCAGTCCCCGGGTGCTGAACACCTTTGCCAGGGACGGGAGCCCCTGCTTTGGCTCCATGCATCTCATTACCAGACCAATGTGGTAATGGATTGCTCCTCTACTTGCCCTACACACACACCATGTCCTGCTTCTAGTTGACCTTTGCCCAGATAATACAGATACGCCCATCTCTCCTCATTCCCCTGCACCCTCTGTCCCCCTGGCAGTGCATCTGGTCCACCCTGGCCCCTCCCTATCCTATTCAAATACAACTGAGAACACCCAGAGCCTCAGACTTCCCATCCCTGCCTTGCATTCTCAGGTGAGGTCCTGGCTTGGCTTGCTGTGGGTGGGGGCAGGAAGGTCTCTGTGAGCATGTGTGGTGGGGTTTGTGGTCTCTAAATGTGTGTGACGTGCACTGCACTGGTGCCTGTGCGGGTCTGTCCCTCAGGGCCACGTGGCCGTGTTTCCGCACTCACGTCTGCCCATCTGCCCTGCCTACCTCCTGTGCTGGGACCCTGCACCTCCACTTTCTACTTAGGTTATAGGCAACTTACAGCCTTTGCCATGCAAGGTAGAGGGATGCAGGATTGTATTCTGTCCCTTCCAGGGCTGCCAACTTTCATCCTCTAAAGAGTTGGGTCTGAATTGGGAAGACATATTCCAAGCACTTCTTCTAATCTATACCCTGACTGGCCCTAAGGTGTTTTTGTTTTGTTTTGCTTTGTTTTTGGTACTGGGGATCGAACTTGGGACTTTGCACTTGTGAGACAGGCAACGGAACCACTGAGCTAAATCCCCGGCCCCCCTAAGCTTTTCTTTACCTCTCCATCCCCCATGCCCAATGGTCTCTTCCAGCTGCATCACTAAGAGAAAGAATAAAGGAGCAAGAAGCACCATGGGCCTAGTTCAGAGGCTAGCTTCAACTGAACGTTTGTGGCACAAGTAGAAGCTAATAAAGGAGTGTTCAGTGGGGCTGGAGATGAAGCTCAGAGCAGAGCACCTGGTTTGTGTGTGCAAAGCCCTGTGTCCCATCTCAGGACCCAAAAAAAGAGTGGCTCAGGAAATGCAGGTCTTGGAAGGGACCAGGGCTGTCGTAGTATTGGTGCGTGTGCGTGTGCATGTGTGTGGGTGCATGCGTGCACACGTGCATTCTCATGTTCAGCTACCATATGAGCACCAGACAGCCCTGACGCCAAGTGTCTGGTCCTTCTGTGGGTTGCTTTGCGATCATTTTGAGGTTGTGTCATGACTTGCATGCCAGCATCAAGTAAGAAGTGACTGGGCCTTGGCAGCAGTATCTGATGAGAATGCTGGTGAATAACAAGTTGGCTCAGACCACCAACACTTACCCTCTTCTGGTCCTAGTGGGAGGAGATAGTAATCCACAGCTCTGACCCTGGAAGGCTTTCTGTTCACTTCTGCTGCAGGGCCAAAGACATGGGGTCTCCCCATCAGCCCATCCTGCTCCACCCTGCTCTGAGTACACTTCCTTCTCCAAGCCTCCTTCTCTCACCCCTATGCCAGGTATTTACATAGGGACCTGTAGGGAAAGGGATACCATCCTGGCACATGTCAGGCACTCAGCATGAATAGTGGAGCAAGGACCGGAGTTCTATCCCTGGTACCAAAAAAAAAAAAAAAAAACATGAATAATGAATATGATTGAAATCGACCCCAATGGAAATGAATTAACATGCTCATGAGTCTGCAGGTGAATCTGGGGTCGGGAAGTTGTAAGGGACCCAGAGGCCAATGCAATTCTTGTCTCTTTTCTCTCCCCTTGTGGGTGAAACCTCTGCATCCATTTAACACCTATGGAAGCACCTGGAGTGCCAGTTCCACACGAGGTGCCAGGCTAGACCAGAGGGAACAGTCTGAGCCCACGCATGCTTTGAAGGGGCTGTGTGTGTATATCCCCGGAAGAGAACAAGGAAGGAGACAGACTGAGATCACCAGAAACTAAAACTCTGTTGAATTCCAGGTGTTTCTGTGTCACTTCCTGCTCCTGCCCCACAAAGATGGATCCAGGTAAGCAGCATGGCTGGGAGGCTCTGGGGTGGGAGAAGGAAGAACAGTGTTGAAGGCTTGGGGCTGGCAGCCAGCCATATCTACCAGATGCCAAAGACCTGTGGGTATGTGGGTACGCAGACGTGGTGGTGGGGCTCTGCCATGTAAATGGCCCCTTCCATTCGGCGCAATGCTTTACAGCTTAAGAAACACGTTCACACAGCCTTCATTGGCTAGATCTTCCCTCTCAAGAAGAAAACAGGCAGCTGCTCCTCTCCTTGTACTGGAGGCCCAGGGAACTCAGGGGTCATGCTAGCGGTGAGGCCCAGAAGCAGGGCCAGGTCTGGAGCCCAGAATCCAGCTGTTCGCAGCCATGCTGTTGACTACCCTCCAAGAGCATGAAAAAAACGCACCAAGAAGCCATACTTCAGACCACTCAGGTGGCTACTGCAGAAACAGCCCACTGGGCCCACAGCTAGGAGGCTGCACGGCCATGCCGAGTGGATTTCTGGCAGGAAGCAAGGCAGAGTGGAGCTGGAGAAATTACTAAGTGCCAAGAGGCAGCAGTGAGACCAGAGTTGTGAGCAAGGAGCCAACAAGTGGCTCTGAGGGGCTGAGGAAAGACTGGGCTGGATATAGGGGACATGAGGGGACCAATGGAGAGACCATGTGGCAGAGGAAGGATCAGGGATTGCAGCACTGGTTAGGTGAGCAGACAGCTGCCAGGCCTCAGACAAGCATCCAGCCTTGGGCCACACCCCACACCACCCAGAGCGCTCTGCCAGCTCTTGAGCTCATGGGATGCATGCTGAATTTCATATTGACTTTCAATATGAATCTGTTGTTGGGTGACAAATGAAGGAATGGTTCTTAGGCAAGTGACCAACTCTGAAGAGCCTTGCTATGGGTGGGGGTGTGGACACAGAATCGATATGATCAAATGACCAAAGCTACTTCTTTCTTCTTTCTCTCCCACAGGTCGGAAGGTAAGAAAGTTCCCCAGCCCTCTCCCCTTCTTCCCCCCAAATGCCATGTTCTCCAGATCTCCTACCTCCTACCTAGACCCCCACTTCCCTTAAAAAAAAAAAAAATCAAGTGCAGGATTAGGCAGCAGCCAAGTGAGGCGGGGCATTCATCCAGGCCCTGTTGGCTGCAGCCCTCTCCTTGGCTTCTCTCCTCTGTTTTCCCATCTGTCTCTCTCCTTTCCTCACTTCCCCTCCCTGCTCCAGCAGCCCATCCTCTCTCCTGCTGCTTCCCCTCCTGTTCTGTTCCTCTGCTTTCCTGGCTGCTACCCCCACAGCCTTGCTGGATGTCTGGCTTGCTCCCAAGCCCCAGCCACACTGCCAGGTCCCTAGGACAGGCTTCTGCCATGGGTGTCCCCCTCCCCATTAGCTACCAGAGCTGACTGGCTCCCAGGCCTGGCTCTGGGGCCTCCCCACAAAAAGAGCCATAGAAGGAGAGGAAGGAAGTGGCCGGATGAGGCAGGGACTGCTCTTTCATGGTCACAGGAACCCGGCAGTCTGGAGCCCTAATGAAGACCTAATGGAGACTTAGAGGGGAGCTACTGCACCCCTTCTCCATAGGGCCCCAGGCCCCAGGTCAGAGGCAAGATGGTGTATCCATTTCCCTGGGCCTGTAACTAGAGACAAGACACTCCCTTGGGGCTTCAGGAGTGGTTCCAGACAAGGCAGGTTAAACCATACATTTCCCAGGCCTCTTCTAAGTGAGGGGTAAAACTGAGACTTTACTTTCTGTTCTTCCTGATTCCTTTGGTCTGGACCCTGCTGGAGGGAGGCATGGGCTCACCACACACCCATCATCATATATACACAAGCATGCACATATGTGAGTACACAGCAGGCCTTTACATGCACCCACCTATGCACAGGTACTCAAACAGAGCCATTTGTATGTAGACACACACAAATAATGTGTGCATTCACTACATAGCAGAGAACACACCTTCTACCCTTGGTCTCCTCCAGTCTGGCCTAGCATCTCCCTGCCCCAACCCACGGGGAGCTCCTCTCCCAGCCACATCCCTGCTCCTAAGCTCAGTTGAGTCTACAGTTCTAGCATGGCAAAACTTCTAATCCCTGCAAGAGTTCCTGGGTGAACAAAGGGGAAAGATGGGATAATTCTGCTTCTCAATTACAGATAAAATAAACTGAGATCCAGATACTAGGAGTCCTGGCTTAGCTCAAGGAATCAGAACACATAAATCAAGGTTCCTCCCCTTTTGTCTGCTCAGTGCTCAAGTGGCTTCATCAAAGCAAAAAGCCCAGTAACTTTCTACCCCAGCCCTCCACTACAACCCTACACTGGTGTCCAGGAGTCCTAATCCCCTGGGGTGGTGGGGTGAAGAGGAGTTGATTGCAGGTAAAACTGGCATTGACTTCAAGCTTTGATATTGCTCATCTGGCTTTCCACAGGGGCACTGCCATGGTGGTCCTCCTCCAAGCCACCCTCCTGGTCATGGGCACCCCCATGGTCATGGGCACCCCCATGGTCACGGTCCAGGGCACTGTCCTGAAGGAATCCACCCACCAGGACATGGTGGGCCTCCCCATGGCCATGGCCCAGGGCACTGTCCTGGGGGAGTCCACCCACCAGGACCTTGTGGGCCTCCTCCTGGCCATGGCCCAGGGCACTGTGGGCACCCCCCTGGACCACATCACTGAGGAAAAAGAAGAAAATAAAACACAGGATGAGAACCCTGAGGGGGCTGCCCTGCTGACCTGCCACAGAACCTGAACCAGCATCTTCTTCTTAATAAACTGGAAGCTGAGCTCTAGTCTAAAAGAGTCTTGTCGTCCTTCACACTCAACTCAGGGACCCTGTTGCTTCTGAGTTCCTCTCCTGTGAAAATGAAGCATCCAGCCTGGCATTCTCAGAAGCTTGGCTCAGTGATGCCCACAGCATGGGGCTGGATAAGGCCATATTCCTTTTCTTTCAATTTTGCCTCTCCCATCAAAAGGTCTCAAATGAGGTTCTATCACCTCTGCCCCATCCGGTGTACCCTCAGATCTGGTGGACCTTCTGAGGTTCCAGTTGGCACACCTCATTCTACACATCCAAAGATGTCAGTGGCTCCCTACTGCCACGTGTATTTCTCAACCATTCCCTGAAAATATACTGATTTTTCCAACCTCCTTAATTTAGGTTGCAGTGTCTCCCACCTCAGGTCAGGAATACCCCATCTCTCTCCTACCTCTGCATTTTCAAAGCCTTGCCTTCCAAGCCTGCTGAAGCTCCGCCATCTCCAGGAAGCCTTCCCTGAAGCCTATTAGGAAGGGTGGTCTTTCCTCTTCAAAACATTGCGCCTTGTCTGCCACAAGCTACGCCTAAGAGATGGTATCAACAGATCTCAAGAGCCTGATCACACCCTCTCCAGGTGGCACCAGTTTATAGCCTGGCTCTTTATCTTTTCAAACCAAACTGTAAGCTACTCAGCGCACTGCTATGCCACTGGGTTTCCCGACCTCATCCCTATGAACTACGCCTTGCATAGACGGGTACTGCCATACACTGAACGGATATCTACAGTCCAAACCTTCTTGGTTCTGACTCCCCAATCACATATTTTCAGCCAAGGCACCTCCATGCCTGCGCAGCCAGGTCCAAAAAGCCTGCTTTCTGCCCATCCAAATCTCTCATCTGGCACACTCCACTCCCAGCCCCCAGGCTTCTCACAAGGCTGATATTTATTCCAGTTCCCTGTAGCCCTCTAGCCAGCCTGTCTGAGCCCGTCCCTCCCGAAGCTCTCTGCTGGCCTCGCCCTCACAGCTGTTCGCTGAAGGGAGAGCCAGCAGCTGTCCCGCAGTGCGTGGTGGCAGGCAGGTCCCGCCCAGGCTGGGGTGGGAGGAGGACGTGGGCCGGGCCTTCCTCCGCGCGTCCTAGTCTCCCTCCCTCCTCCCCTTATTGCGCACTTCAATAACCGAACGGCGGCTCCACCAAGGACCGGCGCAGACCCAGGACAAACGGACAGGAAGACCCATCTGGAACAGATGCCCAACACCCCTGAGGAGGAGAGGAGAACGCCAAGAGAAGCCGAGAGAATTGCGGGAGCCAGAACGCCCAGCTTCCCCCCCCCCTCCGCGGCCCACACCCGCAGCCATACAGACAGCGAGCCCCCAGCCCAGTGCGACGGCGCCGCGGGAAGCTTTGGGCCCCGCCCAAGACGGCCTCGCTCTCATTGGCTGAGCTTCCCGTCGGCCCCGCCCAGCGACAGGAGGCAGGCTCTGACGCATGCGCACGAGCTCGCCGCTGCCGCTGCTTCAGCACTAGAGCTCGGACAGCGGCGCCGCCCACGGGGATGGACGGTGGTAGTAGCCGCAGCTGCTGTAGCAATCCGTCTTCTAGCCCACGTCCGAAAGGGGAGCTGCGGCCCAAGGGTAATCTTTTAGGCCTAAACAGCAGCTCCCCAGACAGGTAGGGAGGACCTCACCGCAGAGCCGGTTCGAAGATCTTCTCAGCACCCCTGCTCCAGGTATCCTCAGTGGTCGCCATCTGTCATCCCATTCATTCCCATCCTCTTCCAGACCCCCTTCCCGGGGCGGGGGGCAGGGGTGGTCAGTACGCCCTCATCCTGCCAAGGTAATTTTCTTGCTCCCTGACACCCCCTAGTGTCAGCCCCCCACCCCCACCCCGTCGCCCTCCTGGTCTGGGGACCTGCCCCACCCCTGTTCCTACCTTTCCTCTAAGACTGCGGTTTTCCCCTTCCCCGGACCTCACGAGCCCCTCTCTGTAAGCCTTGCCTCTTCGTCTTCGCAGAAGGCCCCAGACTGCAGCGACGTCAGTCTGGGCCAGCAGCGTGTCACTGTGCACGGGGATGTGCACGGACCAAGGCGGGTGTCCTGGGCGGGGAGGCGCAGACATTCAGCAGCTACATCAGGGCTGTCTTTGTCCATCACTATCATTGCTTGCCTGCCCATCACCATCGTTTGCTTGCCTGCCCTGCATGGTACCGGGTGTGCATGTATTGATTTGAGTCCCTGAGTGTGGCAGCCACTGGCACTCACTGGAGCTGCTGTCGTAGGCAGGCTCTGAGGCTCAGGCAGAGGTCTGGACGACCCTTGAAAGAGCCTCAGGCTGGTTGGACAGGGAAGACACCTTCCTCCTGAGGGCCCCTCTCCAGATCTGGGTGCCTGTCCTCTCCTTCCACCATATGTGTGACGAACAGCCCAGCCAGGTAGCAAGATGGCGCAATTTCTGTGTGCGCCTGGCTCTACTCCCCCTAGAATCTCTCCCCTGACACAACACTGCCTCTCTGAAACTGAACTGAAAGAAAAGTCATTCTTTTGAGCAAAAAAGCAGACATGGGCACATTATCTCCAGATCTCCTCAATTAAAATGTACATTTTGTACCTCAGAGGGAAGAGAAAGACCCACAAGTACAAACAAATGTTTTCTTCCATCCATTGTTAATACACCAGTCTGAAAAGCACAGAACCTTCTTATTCAAGAGGGTAAGAGACATGATGGGTATGTTCCCCACACCAAGTGCCAAACTGAAACTACAGCCTAACCAGAAAAAGAGAGGGCACGGTAGGGGCCCAGAGTCAGGGGCATCTGTAGAAGGAACTGGGAGTCATTTTCTGTCTGGCGTATCTTGCCAAGGATCAGCCCTGTCTGGTCTACTCATTTCCCCTGGGCACAGGAACCACTTGTTCTGGTCTAGCAATTCCCTGGGGAACTCTGGCCTCTCTCTGCCCTTCCCTCCAAAGACCACAGATATTATGCAGGCTTAGCAACATGGTTCAGTTCAATTCAAGAAATACAGATATGGGCCAGGGATTTAGCTCAGTGGCACTGTGCCTGCCTCAAAAGTGCAAGGTCCTGAGTTCGATCCCCGGTACCAAAAACAAAAAGAAAAAAAGAATTACAGATATGCTCCTGCTGAGCTAAGCAGCACTCTGGGAATATATACCCAGTAAATAAGGCAACAGAAACAGAGAGAGAAAGGGGGGAGGGAGAAAAGAGAAACAGTCTTTTTTTTTCTTGTACTGGGGATTGAATCCAGGCCCCTGCATATAAAGCACATGAAGTCTACCACAGAGCTACACCTCCAGTCTACTCCCACCCCAATTTTATTTTATTTCTTGAGTTAGAGTCTTGCTTTGTTGCCCAGGCTGGCCTGGAACTCCTGAGATCACACAGTACTCTTGTCTCAGCCTCCCAAGTAGCTGGAATTACAGGCACACACCATCGTAGCCAACCACTTCACCATCCTGTCCAAGTGCACTGACTAGAGAAAAATTTGAAATGGTTAATCCTTTTTTTTTTCCAGTATTGAGCCCTAGCCCAGCCCTTTTATTTTTTCTTCCCCTTCCCCTTTGGACCTCTTCTTCCTATTTCACATTACCTATTATACATTTTGATCCTCACTTACACTCTCAGTTTCTCACACCAGAGAAACTATTTGGTATTTACACATGTGTCCTATTTATTTCACTTAAGAGTATCGGCTCAATGTGCATCCATTTAGCTGTAAATGTCTCTAATTTCTCATTCTTTATGGCTTAGTAGTACTCCATTTTATATTTTAAAAAACCCAAAAATCTTCTTTATCTAGTCTCCAGTTGATGGGTAATTGGGCTGTTTCCATGTTTTAGCTATTATAAACTGAGCCATTATAACTTCAAGTAACTTTTTTTTTTTTTTTGGTACCAGGGATCGAACTTGGGATGGCAGCGGAACCACTGAGCTAAATCCCCGGCCCTAAACTGAGCCATTATAAACATGGGTGCATATATATTGCTGTGGTATGATTCTTTTAATTCCTTTGAGAAGATACCCAGCAGGGGAATAGTTGGGTCAAATGGGACCTCTAGTCCTAGTTTTTTTTATTTTTCTATTTTTTTGGTACTGGGAATCAAACTTAGGACCTCCCACTTGCCAGGTAGGCACTGTGCCACTGAGCTACATCCCTGGCCCTTTTTTTTTTTTTAACTTTAAAACAGGGTCTCACTAAGCTACTATATTGCCCAGACTGGGTTCAAACTTGGGATCCTCCTGCCTCACCCTCCCATAGTGCTGGGATTATTGGCATGTGCCACCACACTCAGATAAAACAGTTAATTCTGTGTTTTTAAAACTACCTCTTTATTTTTCTAATGATGGGAGCTGTCCCTCATCTGTCCTGGCCACTCTGTGGGATCACACGAATGTCCAGATGACTGTGATCTGTGGGCTGGGGAAGACAGGGTTAATATACATACACATCTCCCCCTCTGGGAGTCCCAAGCTGGGGCTTTGTGTCTGCCACCCTGTCAGCCAGGCCCTGATTGCAGGGAGTTGGCCTCCAAAGTGAGCCTAGGGTCACCACTTTCCATCCTCCTCCTTGCCTGCCTGCCTGTGTCACTTACAGGCCAGCAGGCCAGTCAGGCATCCTAGGAAGTCACTCGTCCCAGCAGGGTCATAAAACTGAGCAGTCGAGAGAACGAAACCCCCTGGGGAACCCAGGACTGCAAAGCTTAACTCCTGTGATTACCAGATCTCCTGAGAGCAGAGGGCAGTATGGGACTGGCAGAAAAAAAGATTTTATTTCTGAAAAAAGTGCAGTTTGGCTCTTTTCATTGGGAGAATTGAGACAAAGGCCCAGCTTTACAACAGTCAGGATGGGAGGAGTCATCAAATTCTGCCACACTGGGAAAGGCAGGAAAGGTGAGCTGGGGAAAATCCAGTTCTGGGTCCCTGGAGAGGAACAGAAGGGGCTGAAGGGAAGGAGTGAGGCCAGGGAGACCCTGACAGAACCAAACCAATGAGGGAAGCCAAATCCTTTTATTTATATATTTATGTTTGTTTGTTTTCTGAGACAGGGTCTTGCTATGTAGTTCAGGCTGGCCTTGACCTCACTCTGTAGCCCAGGCTGGCCTTGAATTTGTGCTGATCCTCCTGCCTTAGCCTCCTGAGTGCTGGATTATAGGCATGTGCCACCGTGCCCAGCTCCCAGCTCGCCGAAGCCCTTTGAACAGGAACCAATTAAGGCAGGGCAGAAGCTCAGGAGGGTTAGCAGGGAGGGGCTCCCACTTTCCTCTGGCACCCCTTGTGTGCTGGCCTCCCCTGATGCCACTGACACCTCAAGTAGGGGCCTGGCTCCTAAGAGCTGGCTCCTAAGCCCAGTGCTTGGTGCTCTAAGAACTCCAATGGAATGGCTGCAGTAGGCCCCTCCTCTCCACCCAGGCTGCCCCAGCCAACCATGGCTGATAGATCTTTGTCATGCCTTCAGGACCCACTCAGACTGAGCGCAGTGCTTAGCACATGACACCTGCTCCAGAAAAGGAGCTACAGAATCAACACCCTTAAAGAAGTAGACATCCTCACTTCTATACATAACCAGGCCCCTCGCCCAGCTTCTCTTCAGCCCATGGAAAGTGGCCTGCAGTGTCTTTCAGCTGTCAGAACACTGGTCACTTAGGTCATTAACTTTATGGAGTTATCTGAGGTCTGGCTTTAGAACAAATTTGGTCTAATTCCTAATTTTCTAAATGGTCAGTTAGTAAAAAAAATAAGTATTTAAATGAGATCAAATTTCAATGCAGCTTTTAGATGACAAAAGTACTTATAACTATGTAGTCAGAGTCTCAAGGTGGAAGGTTTTGGAGCTATTACCTGAGGTCCCCGAAGAGGACAAACGGTGAATACAAATACACTTTTTAAAGCACATGCTTCCTGTAGTAGTGAGTGTAAATAAGAGAGGAAAGGAAATGTGTCTCCCACATGGCAAGCCCCATGCCAGGCACCTCACATATGTTACATCAGTTAATTCACATAGCAAAACCGAGAGGTGAGTCTGGCCTGATGCCACATGCCTGTGATCCCAGCTCTCAGGAGGCTGAGGCAGGAGGATCACAAGTTCAAGGTCAGCCTGGAAAATTTAGCAAGATCCTATCTCAAAGTTAAAAGAATATAGAGGGTTGAGAATGTAGTACTGCCTGAGTTCAATTCCCAGTACAGAGAGAGAGATAGAGGGAGAGGGAGAGGGAAGAAACAACAAATAAAAACTAAGAGGTGGGCCAGGGTGCAGTGGTGCACACCTGTAATCTCAGCACTCAGGAGCCTGAGGCAGGAGGACCACAGCAAGTCCAAGGCCAGCCTGGGCTATATAGTGAGTTCAAGGCCAGCCTGGATTACATAGCAAGATCCTGCCTCAAAAACCAATAACAGTGGCACACCCCTATGATCCTAGCACTTGGGAGGCTGAGGCAGGAGGATCCCCATGAGTTCAAGGCCAGCCTGGGCTACATAGTGAGTTTAAGGTCAACCTGAACTGCATAGCAAGAGACCTTGTCTTTTTTTTTTTTTTTTTTTTGTACTGGGATCAAACTCAGGTCCTTGCGCTTGTGCAGCAAGCGGCAATTTTTTTTTTTTTTTTTTTGGTACTGGGATCAAACTCAGGTCCTTGCGCTTGTGCAGCAAGCGGCAAAACCACTGAGCTAAATCCCTGGCCCAAGAGACCCTGTCTTAAAAAAAAAAAATTAAAAACAAACAACAACAAAACTCCAATTGGTGGACATTTTCATCATATCTGCAACAGACAAGGATGCCACTGATCCAAAATCATTAGTCTTTCCTGAGGTCTAAAAGGTGCTAAAAGGTGACAGAGCCAGGAACTCCCTTACTGCTCCCCAATTTTACTCTCAACATGAAGGTCACTCTTTCCCAAACGCCTGGGCCAGCTGGCCACCATCTGGAAAAAGACACAGAGTCTGCCTATTCTAGCCAGCTCCTCTACCTCCTCTGAGGGCAAAACAGCCTCTGTGGATAATGTCGGCCTGCCTCTGTGGCCCATGGCCCTCTGGAGTTCAGCAGGCAGGACTCAGAGCCAGGGCTGGCTCTGCATCAACCTGGGTCTCCCACAGGGGCCATGCCAGCTCTGAAGGGCTGGGTGAGCCACAAGGACAGGGCTCTGCCAGGTGACCAGCCTTGGCAGTGTTCTTGGTCATCTTTTCCTGCCCATGGGGTGGGACTGGACTGGGCCCAAGATCAGGTCTAGGACCATGCAGGGTGTTGCCCTGAGAGGGAGTTCTGGGAGAGCACTCTATCTGGGCCCCTTCCTGCACACACCCCTGCAAAGCACATCTTCTCCACACATGGCCCATGACAGGGTTTTCCTTTCTCAACAAACCAACATCTCAGATCACCCACATCTCCCAGCTACAGCAAGTGCTGCAGGGCAAGTGCTGGGTCTGCTCACCCTGGGATCACTCTTTGTGGCAGCCTGGCACTGTGCATTTGCTCAGCAGACACCTAGGCCCCTTCTGCTTTCCCAGGCACCCCACCCCGTTCTACAGGAGAGACAGGCAAGAAACACAGCTGTATGCTTTATTATCCAGTTGTAGCAATGCTATGAAGGAACATCAAGCAGGGTAACAGAACAGAGAGTTGGTGGGTGATTGGAGTCAGGAAAGGCTTCTCTGAGAAGTCATAGCTGAATGGAAATCAGAGTTAAAAAAAATTAACACACACACACACACACACACACACAAACACAGTCACATAGCCCAGGCAATTATCTGGGGGAGGAGCAACCAGGCAGAGGGAAGAGAATAACCAAAAGCTCTAGGATGGGAACAAAAGTGCAGCAGGTGCTTAATGATGTCTGTTAAGAGAACGAACAGGCCATGCACAGTGGTGCTTGCCTATAATCCCAGTACTCTGGCAGGCGGAGGCAGGAGGATGACAAATTCAAGCCCAGCCTGGACAGTTTAGCAGCTTAGTAAAACTGTGTCTTAAAATAAATGAAAAGGATCGGGGCTACAGCCCAGTGCAAAGACCCTGGGTTCAATCCCCAGTACTGCAAAAATAAAACAAAACAGCGCCAGGGATTTAGCTCAGTGGTTCTGCCTCCTGTCTCACAAGCACAAGGTCCCAAGTTCGATCCCCAGTACCAAAAATAAATAAATAAATAAATAAGAAAATGAACAGCCAATTGTAGCAGAAAAAAATGCTTAGCTACAGGTCAGAAGTACAGGGTTCAAGGTCCAGATCTTCCCCTCTCACTCAACCTGTTTCCACATCTATAAATCAAGGAAATAATTCCCTGGTGGGGTTTTTATAAGGGTTGCATAAGACTGTGTGTGTAAAAGCCCGTTTGCTGTCAGGCACAGTGTCCAGCACATGGCAGCTACCAATGACATTTGCAGAGCACATGGATGGACCAGTGGATAAGAGCATGAATCCCAAGACGCAGGCTGGGGATTTAGATCCAGGCCCTCCCCGCCTCACCTCTCCCCCAGGACTCATAATAAATGGTCCTAGGGCCTGCCTCCTTCTCCAGCCCTACTGGACAATTGTGTCATGTGACCACACCATCTCCACTGTCTTTCCTGCTGCTCTCTCCCAGGCCCCAGACCAAGGCCATGGCCCCTGAGGCGAGCCCAGAAAGAAGCTGCTCCCTCCACAGCTGCCCCCTGGAGGACCCTTCTGGCTCTTCAGGACCTGCACCAACTTCCACGCTCCAGGCTCTAGATCCATCCGGGCCTTTAGCCCCAGGCCATTTTGCCTATCCTCGAGGAGCACCGCAAGAATACCAAGAAGGCAGCTCGTTACTAGGGACTGGAGCCCAGGCAGCTTTGTGCTCCCACAGCTCCAATCGAAGTCCTTCTCCGGCCTCCTCCCAGCATGACGGGGTCTGGAAGCCACCTTCTATGCAGCGTCATGTGGTCAGCGTCAGGTAAGGTGGTCTGCTTCCTGCCAGCTGCTCCTGGAAGGTAGGATGGGGTTTAAAAGCGGGCAGACTCCTGGGGCTTCAAACACCTTTCTTAGGAGGCAGCATGGATGTTCCCTGCCTCTTCTGGAGGAGACGACAAGGAGCCTCTTCTGCATAGGCTAAGAAGAGAGATGGAATTTGGGAGCAGGGAGCTCTAAAAGTGTTCTTACCCTTTATCCCTCACCCACCCCGCCCCCACGTCCACACACACATGCACGCACCCCACAAGAGGACTCTGGCAAGCAGATGTCTTTTCTTCTCTTCCACAGGCAGGAACGGGCCTTCCGGATGCCAAAGAGGTAGGCCAGGGCCTCGGCAGGACTCCTAAGCTGGCTGCTCCATGTAGTCTCTGATCTACCCCCCTCTTGGTGGCCCCCAAGCACCCTAGCCCCCGCAGCACACTGACACCAACTCACAGCTCCCTTCTTCTTCCCCAGCTTCTCCCAGCTGATTGCTGAGTGGCCGGTGGCCGTGCTGCTTGTGTGTCTGGCTGTCTTCCTCCTCTGCACCCTGGCTGGACTGCTGGGGAGCCAGCTGCCTGACTTCTCCAACCCTTTACTGGTAAGAGGCTGAGGGGAGGAGGGGTCCCCAGGCCTGGCCACTGCAGCTCAGTCAGGGGCAGAGCTGGCCCAGCCTGGGGTACTGTAGCAATAGTGGGCTCCTGACCTCCAAAGAGTTGCAGAGATGGTCTAGAGGCCACACCCACAATTTAGGCAGGGGACAAAGAGGCAGCACTGGGCATGGCCCCAGTGGAGAACTCCTCCTCTTCCCACCTGCCTTCTCTGCCCTCCTCCACGTAGGGCTTTGAGCCTCGGGACACAGACATCGGGCGGAAGCTAGAGGTCTGGAAAGCACTGCAGGCCCTCACAGGCCCCAAGAAGCTGCTTTCCCTTTCCCCAGACCTCGAGCCAAACAGGTAACAGGTTCCCATCTTTCTACTGAGGGTGGGAAAGGGAGAAAGAACAAGCTTTCTGGGGGAGGGGGCGTTGAGTGACCTCCAAAGGCAGGTCAGAGGGGCCTGCAGGACTCATCCTATGGGTACCCAGGACTGATACCCTCTCTACCGCAGCTCGAACTCCTTTGGCACTCTGAGCCCCGCAGCCTGGGGCAGGGCCCAGGACAGCCTGGTCCGGGCACGCAGGATGGTGGAGCCCGTGGAAGACAAAAGGCAGGATAGCTTCCTCTGTGGCGCCCCTGGTAAGCTGCACCCCGATCAGTCCTGGCCTCCGCGATGGTCCCCGCCCTACACATCGGATGGGCAGACAGAAAGAGAAGGCAGCCAGCCAGCCACATTCAAGCCAAGGAGGCTGGGTCACAGCTGGGGGAGGAAGCGGGGCTTAGGGGTCTAGCCAGGCAAGGTCAAGCTGGGAGCGGGTGGGACACAGAGGCAGGAACGTGCTCCTGGGAATCTGACTCTCAGAGATCCCAGGTAAGCATCATCTCTTCGGTGGGCCCAGGACCTGAGGCCAAAAGGCTGAGTTCCAAGGGGGTGTATTGCAGAGAAAAGCTACGCAAAGCTGGTGTTCGTGTCCACCTCGGGGGGCAGCCTATGGAACCTGAATGCCATCCATTCCATGTGCCGGATAGAACAGGAGCAGGTGAGCTGGCTGGGGAGGTACTGGAAGACTGGGGGGAAAAAGGACACCCAGGACCTGATCTCAAGGAAATATAGTCCCAAGCCACACAGCTACTTGGCGGTAGTCAGGACTCCAGGGTAGACCAGGGAAGACCATTCCTGCTTGGAAAAGTATTCTAGTCCTGCTAGGAGGCTCTAGGTTAGGATAGGAGAAAAGTCAGCTGTTTTTAGAAAAGCTAGACTATAAGAGAGCCGGAGCGGAATCTGGAGATTTTCAAAAGGTCCTGGAAGCTGGGTGTGGTGGTGCACATTGGTAATTCCATTTACTCCAGAGACTGAGACAGGATTGCAAATCTGAGGCCAGCCTGGGCAATTTAGCAAGACCTTGTCTCAAAATAAAAATTACAAAACAAAAATAGAGAAGGCTGGGGATGTAGCTCAGTGCTAGGGTACTTGCCAAGAATGTGTGATGCCCTGGATTCAATCTCCAGTACCAACAGTTTATTAAAAAAAAAAAAAAAAAAAAAAAAAGCTCCTGAATAAAGGGCCTCAAAAGCTGTTGAGGAGGCCCTGGCCCTGGGAGCTAAAACTGAGCTTCAAGGGTCAGCCCTCAGCAACCCTCCGATTGTGCTAACTGGAAAACCATCTCCAATAACATCTGTAGAAAGGGTTAGTGCTACAAACAATATGAAAAACACTCAGTAGTTGCAATCCTACCCTACCTCCCCAGTACACCAGGATATCTGAGTATGTGTTCTAGATCCTGTAATCCCAGCACTCTCACACAGAAGGATCAAAAGTTTAAACCCAGCTTGGGTGACTAAAGACTTAAACCCTTTCTCAAAATAAAAGACAAAAAGGGCTGGGCATGTAGCTCAGTGCAGAGGCCCTGGATTCAATCGTCAGTGCCGAAGGAGGAGGAGGAGGAGGAGGACAAGGAGGAGGAGGAGGTGAGGAAGAAGAAGAAAAAGAAGAGGTGTTCTGGAGAAACATGTGTGGTGGTGCACACCTGTAATCCCAGCACTCAGGAAGCTAAGGCAGAAGACTTGTGAGTTCGAGGCCAGCCTCAGCTGCATAATGAGTTCAAGGCCAAGTTTAGCCTGGACTACATAGCAAAGCCTTATGTCAAAAAAAAAAAGTGTTCTGGAGTCAGAAGCCTGAATTCAAGACTAGCTCTAAGGTTTCCTTCCTGCGTGACTTCTTAACCTCTCAGTGCCTTAGTATTCGGATATGATTGTTTTGTGTTTATGGTGCTGGAGATTAAACTCAGGGCCTCATTTGTGCTAAGCATGCAGTCTACCACTGAGCTATACTCCCAGCTCCCATATGTGTTCAACAGGGATAATAACAGTACCTCTTTCATAGGGATGTTGTGACAATCAAACAAGGTAAAATACTGGAAAATACAGTATACTGACTGACGGTAGTGATTGTTCAATAAACATTACCATTGTTGTCACCATGATCTCAGACCACACAACAGTCAGAGCAAGCCCTCCAACTCCCAGGCACCAGCAGTTGTGGTGTCAACAGCAAGGTGGGAGAGGAGAGGACTTAGAAAGCCTGAGAAAGGAGCAGCCCTGGCCCTAAGAGGCTCTAAGCAGCCCAGAAGAGAGTTGGGGCCTGAGGTTCAGCAGTGACCCTGATCCTAGAGTGTTCTGGCCTCTCCTTTTTCCATCGCTTGCTTCCAGCTCCCCGGCCTCTTGGCACTGTTCCATGGCTGTCAGCTCCACTTCCACTCCCACTTCTATCTCAGGCAGTGCACAACTAGGGTGCATGACCTATAGGGGCCTAGGCCAGGGCCTCTCAGGCTGAGACCTTGGGCAGTATTTCTGAGGCTCCTTTTTGGCAGAGCCATGATATAGCTGCTGGCAGCTGGACTGGAAGCCACGGCCAGTGCTGAGACCAGCCAGTTCTATTGGGCTGTCGAGATACTTCTTAGTCCTTGCCCCACAGCCCAAAAGGAGGTGAGCAGGTCCAGTACAGGGCTGGAGATACCTGGGCCTCTGGACTGGCCCTGAGCTCTATCCTGTCATGTGCCCTACAGATCCGCACCCATGCCCACTTTGGAACTCTGTGCCAGCGTACAGCAACCAACGAGTGCTGCCCCAGCTGGTCCCTGGGCAACTACCTGGCTGTGCTCTCCAACCGCTCCTCCTGCCTGGATACCACCCCCGGGGATGCAGCCCGCGTGCTGGCCCTGCTGCGGGCCTGTGCCCCCTACTACCATCGCGGTGTCCTGGTGCCCTCTTGTCTGGGATCCGGGCAGGACAAGTCTCCACACTGCGCCCAGGTTCCCACCAAGTGCTCCCGGAGCAGTGCCATCTACCAACTCCTGCATTTTATGCTAGACAGGGACTTTCTGAGTCCCCAGACTGCCGACTACCAGGTGCCCTCCCTCAAGTTCAGCCTGCTCTTCCTGCCCACCCTGAAGGGGGCCTCTATGATGGACATCTACCTGGATGGCCTGGCTGAACCCCAGCTGGTCTCTGACAACTACACGTCCATCAGCGGCATGGACCTGGGCATCAAGCAGGAGCTGCTGAAGCACTACCTGGCCCTGGACACGATGTACCCACTGCTGGCGCTGGCTGCCATCTTCTTCAGCATCACTCTGTATCTGCGCTCGCTCTTCATCACCGTTATGGTGCTGGTGGGCGTGCTGGGCTCTCTCCTGGTGGCCTTCTTTCTCTACCACGTGGCCTTCCGCATGGCCTACTTCCCCTTCGTCAACCTGGCAGCCGTGGTCCTGCTCAGCAGCGTCTGCGTCAACCACACCCTCATCTTTTTTGACCTGTGGCGCCTCAGCAAGAGCCAGGTGCCCTCCGGGGGGCTGGCACAGCGCGTGGCCCGCACCATGCACCACTTCGGCTACCTGGTGCTGGTATCCGGCCTCACCACTGGCGCCGCCTTCTATGGCAGCTACCTGAGCCGCCTGCCCACGGTCCGCTGCTTCGCGCTCTTCATGGGCACGGCCGTGCTGGTGCATATGGCGATCACGCTGGCCTGGCTGCCTGCCTCTGCCGTGCTGCAGGAGCGCTACCTGGCGCGGGGCTGCGTCCCCCTGGCTCAGGGCCCCCGCGGTGGCAGCGACCCCTGGCGGCTGCTGCTGGCGGTGCACCGGAGGCTGCGCGGCTTCCGCAGGGCTGCCGCCATCCTCTCGCGCTTGCTCTTCCAGCGCCTGCTGCCTTGTGGCGTCATCAAGTTCCGCTACATCTGGATCTGCTGGTTCGCCGCGCTGGCGGCAGGGGGCGCCTACATCGGCGGCGTCAGCCCGCGCCTGCAGCTGCCCATCCTGCTCCCTGCCGGCGGCCAGGTCTTCCGGCCCAGCCACCCGTTCGAGCGCTTCGATGCCGAGTACCGCCAGCAGTTCCTGTTCGAGCAGCTGCCTGCGGACGAGGGCGGCCAGTTGCCAGTGGTCCTGGTGTGGGGGGTGCTGCCAGTGGACACAAGTGACCCGCTGGACCCGCGCAGCAACAGCTCCCTGGTGAGCGACCCCGATTTCATGCCCAGCAGCCCCGAAGCCCAGCAGTGGCTGCTGTCCCTGTGCCACGGAGCCCGCAATCAGAGCTTCTTTGGTTCGCAGCCGCAGGGCTGGCCCACGCTGTGCTTCGTGGAGGCCTTGCAGCAGTGGATGGAGAGGCCAGCTTGCGCCCGCATAGGGCCTGACCTGTGCTGCGGCCAGCCCGACTTCCCCTGGGCGCCAGAGCTTTTCCTACACTGCCTCAAGATGATGGCCCTGGAGCAAGGCCTTGATGGCACCCGTGACCTGGGACTCCGCTTTAATGCCCACGGCAACCTGGCCGCGCTGGTCCTGCAGTTCCAGACCAACTTCCCCTACAGCCCTGACTATGGCCAGGTCCACCACTTCTACACCGAGGTCAGTCGCTGGCTGGCATCTGAGCTGGGCAGGGCACCTCCAGGCCTTCGCCGCGGGTGGTTCACCAGCCATCTGGAGCTGTACAGCCTGCAGCACAGCCTGAGCACTGAGCCTGCTGTGGTGCTGGGCCTGGCTCTGGCTCTGGCCTTTGCCACACTGCTTCTGGGCACCTGGAACGTCCCCCTCAGCCTGTTCTCCGTGGCAGCTGTGGCCGGCACCGTGCTGCTCACCGCGGGACTCCTTGTTCTGCTTGAGTGGCAGCTCAACACTGCCGAGGCCCTCTTTCTCTCTGCCTCAGTGGGCCTCTCTGTGGACTTCACCATCAATTACTGCATCTCCTACCACCTGTGCCCACACCCAGATCGCCTGAGCCGTGTGGCCTTCTCACTGCGCCAGACCAGCCGTGCCACAGCAGTGGGGACGGCAGCCCTGTTTGCATCTGGTGTACTCATGCTTCCAGCAACGGTGCTGCTCTATCGAAAGCTGGGCATCATACTCATGATGGTCAAGTTCGTCAGCTGTGGCTTTGCCAGCTTCTTCTTCCAGTCTCTGTGCTGTTTCTTTGGGCCAGAGAAGAACTGTGGACAGATCCTCTGGCCCTGTGCCCACCTGCCATGGGACGCTGGAACTGAGGACCCTGAGGAGGAGAAGGCACGGTCGGGGCCAGTGGCTCCTGGGTCCTGCTCAGAGCATTACGAGCTTCAGCCTCTGGCACGGCACCGGAGCCCCAGCTTTGACACCAGCACAGCCACCAGCAAGCTGTCCCACCGGCCCTCAGTCCTCTCGGAGGATCTGCAGCTGCATGATGGTAACTGCTGTGCTCGGCCCCCAGTTGCCCCTTCGTCCCCAAAGGATCTGCTCCTGGATCACCAGGCAGTCTTCAGCCAGTGCCCAGCCCTGCAGACCTCCTCCCCCTATAAGCAGGCTGGGCCCAGCCCCAAAACCTGGGTCAGGCAGAACTCCCAAGGACAGGAGGACGAGCCCCTGCAGGCCTCGCCAGAAGCTCCAGCCCACTCCCCCAAGCCCAAGGCTGAAGAGCTTCCTGATGGCCTCTGCCCCTCAGCCAGCACCCTGGAGGGACTCAGCATCTCCGATGACACCTCCCTAAGCACCTCTGAGCCCAGCACACGTGTACCAGATTCCATGGGCACCTCCCCAGAAAACCTGGATGACATCAGGAAGCCAGCACCTGAGCTGGGCCAGCTGAATGGGAAGCGTGACACCCTATGGCTGGCACTGAAGGAAACCGTGTATGACCCAACACTGCCCAACTCCCACCAGAGCACCTCCTCCTGGAAGGGCCGCGGGGGCCCAGGAGATGGTAGCCCCGTGGTACTGCCCAACAGCCAGCCAGATCTGCCTGATGTTTGGCTCCGCAGGCCCAGCACCCACACCTCAGGCTACAGTAGCTGAGGGAGTCCAGACCTGGGTGCAGAACCCTGTCAGTGATGATGAGGCAGGGGCAACACCGGCTGAGCCTGAAGGCATTTCCCCAAATCAACATGGAGAAGTCCCACCTTCCAACTGTGAATTAAAAACCCTGCCAAAAGTTCCAGCCTTGATCTGTCTGCTACTTACCCTCTACATCTGGAGGATTCAGTGGGGAGAGCCTTTGGAAGAAGTACCAGGGCTCACTCCCCGCACGGTGCCTACAAGGACTCCTCCTCTGGAAAGGGGGAAGGCCAGATGTGCAGCTCCAGGCATCAGGGAGGCTGACCTGACACCCACACACCTGGCGAGTTCAGTGAGTGTAAGGTACCCTGTGGAGGGACCCTGCTGGGGTACCTCACTGACCGGAAGAGCCCTTGGGACCTCCACAGCTTCCTAGGTCACCCCTCTCAATGAGTTCATCAGGATGGTTTCTCACTCTTCAGGGAGGATCTCTGGGCCAGAAGTGGGCTGGAGCCTCTGTCCTGAATGGCCCTGTTCCGCTCACACTCACTGATCTGACCAGTGAGTCAGATCAGTGGCTCACTGATCACTGTGTTCAAGCCTGGCAGAGATGGCTGCTGGGAGTGAAGCAGGAGAAGGTGAATGGTCAACCTCAAAGCATCCCCAAAGTGCAAGATCCCTCTTTGGAAGCAGGCTCCAGTGCTCTCCCCTGTTAAACAGTACTCATCCTTTCCATCCATGCACCTGTTGGTCTCCTCAGACTCTCACTACTTCACTACAGGGTGGCCTGCGGTTGGTCAGTTTCTTTTACCCCCAATTTGCAGGTAAAGACATTGAGACTAAGACTGGTTGATATATCCAAAGTCATGTTGCCTGTCAAAGGCAGAGCAGTTTCCTGGTTCATTCTGCCACCAACATTCCAAGTTCTCCTGGCTACCTGCTTCAGGAACACTGGGACCTGGCTGCCTTGATCCTTTGCTTCTCGCACCCTCCTCCAACCTGCCTACTTGGTTGTCTCTTTGTAAATCCTGCCTCCCCTTTGAACCTCTGTCTCCAGAGAAAGCTGTACTCTGAGCCAATCCCAGAGTTCCTTTCTGTCTCCCCTGTGCTTTCCTCTGGAACCCTCAGAGATGCCTACCCACCATGGGGCAGCGGGGCTGGTCTGACTCTCCAGTACCAGGGTCTGTGCCTCTTCCGTGGCAATGAAGTGTGGAGAGGTCCTGAGGGTGGACAGGCTGAGCAGACTCCAGTGAAGGCAGCAGCCCAGACCTGCCCTTTTGGGGAGTGAGCCTGAAGCTGCTCCCCAAATCAGGTCCCAGTTTTTTAAGGATGGGTCTCTCTGGGAGACACTCAGTGGACCGAAACCTGGCTCTCCTTCCCCAACAGTCTGTCTTGAGGTTTTACCCATGCAGGAGCTCATGACACTGGGTAGCATTGAATAGTAGCATATGGTCTTACAAGGAACCTGAGTGTGGAAGGAGAATCAAACACCCACCCTCATGAGCTCACCTTCTGGTTGGGGAAACAGGTTACACGCGCAGGCAGGTATTGCATGGGTCACTGCACTATTGTTGGAGCTCAGTACCCAGGAAAAGGTGACAGAAGGTTTCCTGAAGCAGGAATGACTTGAGCTAGGCTAAGGAAGACCAAGCATCTCAGACTAGAAGGGACCATTCTGGTCAGCAGCTCCAGAGGTTTGTGCATGTTACAGCCTAAGGACCCTTCCTTCACAGACCCTCATTAAAACAGATATGCAGCAGTTACTCTGATGGGTGCAGGGAGGGAGACAGCCAGCCCAGTCTCCCTTTCTACTGCAGCTCTCCAGGGGCTCTGCAGAACTCCTCAGGCTGTGGTAACCCACAGGATGTAGCATGAAAACCACTGATCCAGACCATTTTGCAGCTTATCTGAGAAGGGAAGGGATTTTTCCAGAGTTAGTCTGTGGTAAAGCTGGAGGTAAATCAGAGGGCATTTTTGTTCTGTGCTATTGTGTTGCTGTGTTCTTGAGACCTACCTCCCATCCCAGATAGTATATGAAAAATGGAGCAGGACCCAAATGAGAGATAAGAATTATGGAAGAGAGAGCAGTCAGTGCAGCCGTCCCTCAGTATCCGTGGAGAACTGGTTTCACCGAAATCCAAGGATGCGCAAGTCCCTTGTGTACAATGGTGTATTTGCATATATCCTGCGCATATTCGCTCACATATTTAAACTGTCTCTAGATTACTTATTATATGTAATATGATATATATGCTGTGTAAATTGTTGTTATAGTGTACTGTGTTGTTTAGGGAATTATGACCAAAAAAAAGTCTGTGTGTGATGAGTTCTGATGTGATTCTTTTTTCCACTAATATTTTTGATCTGCTATTGGTTCAGTCCACAGATGCAGAACCTATGATTGATATGGAGAGTTGACCATGTAAGTTGGCTTCTTGCAAGATAAGTAACTCCTGGCCAGGCAGGCAGCACACATCTATAATCCCAGCTACTCAGGAGGCTCAGGCAGGAGGATCACTTGAGCCCAGGAGTTCGGGGCCAACCTGAACATGACAAGACTCCAGTTCCAAAAACAAAACTAAAACTCCTGACCAGCTGTGCATGGTGGCGTGCACCTATAATCCCACCACTCTGGTGGCAGAGGCAGGAGGATCATCACAAGTTCGAGGCCAGCCTGGACTATATAAAGAGTTCAAAGCCAGCCTGAACTAAGCTACACTGGGAGACCTTGTCTCAGGAAAAAAAATCCTGGGCCAGGGTTTATCTCAGTGGCACAGTGCCTGCCTGGCATGCACAAGGTCCTGAGTTCCATCCCTGGTACCAAAAAAAAAAAAAAAATCCTGACACCAGGAAAGCAAGGGTGTGACTAGGACCAAATTTGGACCTAATTTGGACCTGTCTCTCTGAGAGTTTCAGTCTCCCTCTTCCTCTCCCTCTCCCCCCACCCCCGTTTTTAAATTGTTTTTCTTTTTATGACAGGGTCTCACTAAGTTGCCTAGGCTAGACTGGAACTTGCAGTCCTCCTGCCTCAGCCTCCCAGAGGTACTGAGGTTACAGGCATGTGCCACCACATCCAACTGGGTCTCTTTCTTTATGTCCAAGTAGTATTCAGTCTCTCTGGCCTACATCAGAGTCCTAGCTTCTCTGTGACATGGACTGTGTCCCTCTTTCATCACACAGCCAGGCTAGAGACCCCTGATCTTACCAGATAATGGGTCTTGGGGAGGACAAGGTGACCCATCTTCCTAAGCCTAAGCCATTCTGCCTTGGGCTGGGGTGAGGTACTGTGTGCTTAGTATGCACCAGGTCCTGGAGTCCACCTCCAGCACTAGAAAAAAAAAAAAAGAGGACAAGAAAAGAAAAGAAAACAAAAGAGTTCAGCCTTGACTCGAAAGAGGAAGGAGCATCTCCCAAGTAGCTCACGTAGGCTCTTGCACTGCGTGCGGGGGACTAAGAGGTACATGAAGCCTAAAGAATCTGCTCCCTCTTTTGTGTCTTGCAAAAGGAGCTATTGCTGCCTGGGACTGGGGCTTCAAACACTCAAACAAAGTCTTAGGGAGTCTAGCAGGTGGGTGGATGGGTGGGCACCAGGAATCTGGGCCCTCTCGGGGATTTCTAGGTCCCAGTCTTACAGGCCATGGCCACATAACCCTACAGATAGGCAGATGAGCCAGAGCAGCTGATGCATTGACTGGATTTGTTCTTTATGTTACCGGGCCCAGAGGGCTGAAAGAACCCTTCCGTAATCTAAAATGATCTCTTTCGGGCTGGGTTTGTAGCTGGGTAGGAGGAGTGCTTGCCTAGCATGCCCAAAGGCTTTTAGTTTGACCTGGAGTACTGCAAACAAACAAATATTACCTCACAGCTAGAGTAACCAAGCCAACAGTAGGCAACACACATTAGTGGGTAATCCAGCCTACCTTTCCAGCCCTGACTTCAGGACATAGGATTTAAAGCATTTCCAACTTGCTTTGTGTTTAAGCATATTTATTTTCTTAGTTATTATTTCGGTGGTTACTATGAGGGTGGCCCTGGATTTACGTGGCTTAGAAGCATGGAGTAAGGTGTATGAAAACCACTCAAAGCATCCATGTCTGCCCTGAAAAATTCAAGAAATAGTTTCTCTCCACTGAGACACTTTAAAATAGGACTACATGGACACTCAACTGGGACCTGGGGCCATTTCTGTGTGCCACAGACCCTTGACACGGCTCTACCACTGAGTTATAACCACAGCCAGAAGAAAGGCTTCCCTGACTGGGAATCGAACCTGGGCCACAGCAGTGAAAGCGCTAAATTATAAGCACTAGACCATCAAAGAGCACCTTGAAATATAACCTGGCATAGCCAGGTATGGTGGTGCAGGCCTGGATTTGTCCAGAGCCTATCATCACACTGGTTGGGAGGCCAAGGAAGGAGGACTGCGAGTGGAGAGCAGCGTGCACTACGTAGCAATACCCTGTCTCAAAAACAATAAAACAAGTTAGGAACTTGGTTACTTTGAGAAAACCCTTCTACCCCTGTGTGGTTGTGGTGCTTTGGGGCCTTTAGAGTGACAATGTTGGACACAGATTGAATGGACTGAAAGACTCTTAGATTTTACGACCTATGGCACATCTTTTACCATGATATTCAGGCCATATCTCAGCTTGAACTGATTTGGAAAGAGACATTTTACAAGAGGTTTACAAGGCAAACTTCTTCACCTCCCTCCAACTCATTCCATTCTTCCCCCAGTGCACGAGAGGACAAAGAAACAGGTGAGGCTGTCAGGAAAGAGGATACCAGTTGGGGATAGTTCAGTGGTAAATGCTTCTTACTGTGCAGGAAGCCCAGGGTTTAATCCCCAACACAAAAAAGGGGAGGCAGAGACGCATTGTTTCCCACCTTGCCTGTCACACAGAGAGGAAGGCCAGACATTCCTGCCACAGCAGCCTCGTTTTATTTGTGATAACATAGATGAGCACTGTGGCACTCATGCCCGAGTTTCAATCTAATTTTCCTGAAAACAGAAAAACCAGGCATTCTTTACCCTTTGACACTGACAACTGCAGCGCAAAGTGTGCAGGTATTGATGCTTGGGGGAGGAAACCAACTCAATCCGCAGGAAGATGTGAAACAGAAAACCACTGTGTGCTTGGTAAATGTCTGTCTGGCTGTGAGGAAGAGCTGGAAAGACTTTGCTAAATTTCTTTTATAATTATTAGGCCTCTGTATGATTATTCCCATGAAGTCTCAACAAAGAGACAAAATCTATATTTTACCAAATTTACAGACACCTAAGCTTCAGTACTGACAAAGAAAATCACGCCACTGAGCAGATGGATGTAGATTTGTTTATTTTATTTTGTTTGTTTGTTTGTTTTTTGTTTTTTTGGTTCCGGGGATCGAACTCGGGTCCTTGCACTTGCACAGCAGGCAGCGAAACCACTGAGCTAAATCCCTGGCCTGGTGTTGGGAATTGAACCAACCAGGGACTTGGCCATGCTAGGCAAGTGTTCAAGTGTTCTTCCACAGAGCAACATCCCAAGCCTTACTTTCCATTCTCAGTACTGGTTTCCATTCTTTGTTGAGACCATCTGCTGTTTTCTCCACCTTCCTCAGATGTCTGCTGCCTTCCATCTCCCTACCACAACACCTGCTTCCAGTGCACAGAAAAACTTCATTCTTCATAAAGAAAACTCCAGCCTTCAGGTAGAAAGATATCAAATTCCAACTTACTGACCCATATCCCTACCTGCTACTCTTCCCATTCCTTCTCTTACAACAAAGGAAGCAGTCAATGGCTTCACACACTGAATCCAAGGCCTTTAAACTAGAATTCTCTCTCCATGAACTGTCTCCACAAAAGAGACTTTCTCGAACATAACAGACGCAGATAGTTTTGTTTTTGTTTTTGGTACTGGGGATCGAACTCAGGACCTTATGCTTGCGAGGCAGGCCCCGGAACCACTGTGCTAAATCCCCAGCCCTAGATGCAGATAGTTTTAAGGATTCACTATCCAGAGCCAGCTCCAACCTGTGTTCCCATTTCATCTTGGTGGCCCTGAGGCTCCTGGCAGTTCTCCATCCTGGCCTCTCCTTTCCCAATTCTCAGTCCTGCTCTGAAACCTTCCTCTGCACTGTAAAGACAACCAGGAATAGTTGAGAATCCTCTGTGTCAGGAAGTCCTTGAGAGAGCAAAGCCTGGAAGAGCTTCTAGAAGTTCCTACACCGTCGTCTCCTTTTAAGAATTAAATTTCAGCTGGGGATTTAGCTCAGTGGTTTCCCCGCCTGCTGCGCAAGCACAAGGACCCAAGTTTGATCCCTGGTACCAAAAAAAAAAAAAAAAAAGAATTAAATTTCAGGGCTGGGGATTTAGCTCAGTGGTTCCGCCACCTGCCCCGAAAGCACAAGGTTCTGACTTCAATCCCCAGTACCAAAAAAAAAATAATTCAATTTCAAGCTAGGTGTGGTGCCCATACCTATAAATCTCAGCACCTGGAGGCAGAGGCAGGAGGATTATAAATTCAAGGCAACCCTGGATTACTCAGCGAGTTCAAGGCTGGCTTGGGCTATATAGTGACACCCTGTCTCAAAATAAACCAAAAAATTCAATTTCAGGGCTGAGATGTAGCTCAATTTGGGAGCACTTTGCTCACATAAAGAAATTTCAGTGTCACCAGGGATTTAGCTCAGTAGTTCCGCTGCTTGTCTCACAAGTGGAAGGACCCAAGTTCGATCCCCAGTACCTAAAATAAAGAAAAGAAAAGAAATTTTAGTGTCATGGGGCTAGGGGTGTAGCTGAGAGAACATATGCTTTAAACCATTCTCATGCAAGGCATTGCGTTCAATCTTCAGCACTGCAATATCATATATATATATATATATTTCATACATATCAATTTCAGGGTTGAGGGTATAGCTCAGTGGTAGAACATATGCTTAGCATGGGTGAGGCCCTGGGTTCCAATCCTGAGCACCACCCCAAAAAAAGAAAAATTCAATTTCAAAAGTGAGAAAGTTGACAAAGGATGCATATTAGTCACATTTATTTGAGTGGGCATAAAATATGAGGTTCTGATAGTAAGTCTGGCAGAGCATGGCGGTGCACACCTGTACCCTTGGGAGGCTGAGGCAGGAGGGTTGCAACTTTGAGCATAGCTTGGGTGACTTAGCAAGTCCCTGTTTCAAAAAAAGAATTAGGGCCAGGGATTTAGTTCAGTGGTTCTGCTGCCTGCCTCCCAAGCACAAGGACCGGAGTTCAATCCTGGGTACCAAAAAAAAAAAGAATTAAATGGGGGCCGGAGATTTAGCTCAGTGGTGCCACTGCCTGCTTCAAAAGTG